TTGTGTCCATGATTGTACAAGTGTTGTCATCGATGTGTAAAGCTGTTGACTTATGGCGTCAGTGTGTAAGTTCAGGATCTAGAAGCTGTATATACTACTCAAAAAATGTTAAGGATCACCTCATTCATTCAGTACTACTTGTCATATCTGTCCTGGCATTACATATCAACCATACATATGTTGAAGAATCGAAAGATCCTTAACTCTTTGAGTAGTATAACATGTTTAGAGCTTCCAGTATCTTCTAGTATGAGAATCCCATACTTTGCCAAATATGAGACTGCATATTGTATTTCCTCTAAAACATGTTTGTGTGTCCACTGTGTTTTCCCAAGAATAGTGTACCTCATTTTGTTGAAAAAAAATCAGAGGTGCTGAAGAGGCTTTGTATAGTATATGCCATATTGAACAATCAGGGAATTTGTTAACCTAGAGTGTATGAGAGATGGCTTCTGTTCTGTATAATGCTTGCACTAACTACCTTATCATTCCATACAGTCATACAAAGTGTACATTTGCAAGAAAAAGAGGTTATTAATCACAGTATTTAAGTCAGTGTCGCATACAGGAAATACGGTATTTAATATTTTTAGCATTCCGATAAATCTCCACTATATCCTGGATGCATCTACGGCTCGAGCCGATGAGTTTATTACCTCCCTTTGCTGGCTCCGCATTCTCACAGTAGCCAATCAGATAAGCCTCCATTACAACCGAGCTCGCCAGTGTGAACAAAGATAGCGGTCGCAGCAGCGAAAGTTTGTTCGCAGTGCGACTCAGATTTAGGGGGAAAACATACAGACAAATTGACAGGTCTGAAATCTTGAAAATACTATATGCAAGAACTCCTTCTACCTCTTTCAGAGTACCTCTGCATCAATATATTATTGTGTTGCCAAGTTTACTCGGTTAGATAATTTAAAAAGCGAAAGTGAGTTGTGTGCTCAACTTCTCAGCGTAGACACCTGATTGGATAAAAAGCCAAACAAGGGAGGTAATAAAATCGGCTCGAGCCGTAGATGCATCCAGGGTATGGTGGAGATTTATCGGAACGCATACCCTGGAGATAATCGAGGATGTATTTTTAGGGAAGGGGAGGGTAACTGCTTTGAAAGGAAGTTTGAAGGTACACTGATAAGTTTTACAGATAACAACTTCTTGTATTTCATAGGTGCAACATTTCAATACAGATTCATGTTGATGTGTGACAACGGTACAAAAATCTGTATTGAAATGTCACACCTAGAAAATATAAAACATTATTATCCAGAAAATTTGTTATTATTAAGGGAGAGGTTGTTGGGATTTTTGTTTGTGCATATCTTTGTGGTCACTCCACGTAAAACAGTGTTAATCCCAACATGTGGCGGGACCATGCTTAGTCATGGCTTTCATGTGATGATTACTTCAACCTGTATCACTTTGGGCCTTTTTCCACCACAAAGCAGCATGGCAAGATTTCTCATCAAAACAGCAGACTACTTAAGTACCAAGCAGACAGTAAATCAGCCCTGTCAGATTACAAACTAAAGTTTCCTTGCCTTCAAATTCTGGTTGACAAAGTCAAAATCCTCTCGCCTAGAAAATTATGACTTCACAAAAAGAAAACTCTTTGAAGCCAAAGAAATCCACCTCTACAAATCTTGGACCAACACAGAGGGTATTACATATATCGCCATCAGCCTACACAGAGTTAGTATGTGACAGACTATCAATATACCATTCAGTTACCATCCAGTATGCTTGTTTATAATATATTTTTTCTGTTTTTACTCTCTACCTGCCATATCAAATGATGTGATACTTGTCATAAATTACATTTTATTATATAAAATTTGCTGCTTGTCACTACACAATGTGCATATATACTTCTCATCACCTGGATGCAGTCACTTTCAGCTTGATAATGGTGTAAGAATCTACGTTCAAATGTCGCTGTCTGCTTTGTCCAAGTTGTTCATTTGAAGCCAACCCTCTCTGAAAAGCCAGTCCCGGTCTCTATTCCCAAGGAATAATGCTTTGATGCTGACATAGTCAAGTGATGCTCAAGTTTATTTGTTATATTATTGTTTCTATTTATTTCAGCACTTTATAAATAAAATATATAATTACAGTCCTACATCTTGTCCTGATGTTTTGTACATTGTTCTGGACTGATTTGACTGCACAGAACAGATTCCACTGTTATTTACCGTGTATCACTCATTACCAACTCTGTCCTGTACAGATTCTACTGATACTTGCTGTGTCCTGTACATAATCAACTCTGTCCTGTACAGATTCCATTTGCTCTGTGTCCCACACATCATCATCCCTGTCGTGTACATATTCCGCTGTTCTCTGCTCTGTGTCCTGCATATTGTCAGCCCTCTACTGTGCAGATTCCAGTGTTATTTACTCTGTGTCCCACACATCATCAACATGTCCTGTACAGATTCTGTTTATTCCATATCCTACACAGTAACAAGTTGTGGTTGAAGCACATACAACTTCATAGTTGTTGTGACTGTAGAAATTATTGAGTTAAGGTAGTAGCATGTTTAGACCATAACACACAAAACCATTCTGTCTGGACAGCACCCGCAAGTCATGCTTACACTTCACCATACATGCGGAAGGTTATACTTTTCCAGCTACTTGGAACAGCTGGACAAGCCAAATACACCCCCTATATCTACTGACCATGTACTTCACAGGGAAAGTCCAGCATAATATGGCTTTCTGGGAATGGTGACCACGGACAGTTGTAACTCTGCGTGTAACCCATGTCCTGGCTAACCTTGGTCATCTAGGTATAAATCAGTATGGTTGAAGACCATACCAGCATCCAAACATACAACCTTCAAAGTCATCTCAATTGACTACAGAAACTATCGAGTTAAGCTAGTGAGGTGTGAGGTGAAGGTGAAAATTGGGATTTACGTCGTGCTTGAGAATATTTCACTCATATGGCGGCGTGCATGCGTGCGTAATGTAATGCGGCTGCTTGTACTAGCCCAGACTTAAGCTGGTTTTATAGTGCTAGCCCACTGAGATACCATGCCGCAGTGAAGCATGAATACCCCACTCAGACACATTATACTGACTCCGAGCCGACCAGTCCTTGTTGTACCCATTAATGCCGCCAGACAGGGACCAACAAGTACCATATTTTAACGTCTTTTGGTATGACGCGGTCGGGGATCGAACCCGCGACCTTCTGCTCTCCGGGCGGACGCTCTAACCACTACACCACGGAGGAGGTCTTAAGCTAGTAGCATGTTTAGACCATAACACTGAAAACCATTGTGTCTGGCTAATAAATCGGTATTTCCTAAGTCAAGTGTTTCAACTTGACCTGAACCATTTTAAACAACATTCAATACATTAGAAAGGGGCATGTCTCAACTGGAACTGAAAGATTAGAACACTAACTTTGTATAGTACATGAACAAGTTGGGTCTCTCAACTGGAACTGAACTGGAGAACACTTACTCATTAAACCACCTGCAGAAGTTATGCCTCTCAACATGAACAAAAAGATCAGAAGACTTTGTCTGCTACATGAACAAGCTATGCTTGTCAAATGGAACTCACATGATAGAGGATTAAATCATCATACTGCATATAGAAGTGCCTCTCAAACAGAACAGAAATATGAAAAGACTAACTTTGTATGCTACATGGACAAGTTGTGCCTCTCAACTGGGACTGTAACAATAGAAGTGACTGAGTGAGTTTGGTTTTACACCGCTTTTAGCAATATTCCAGCAATATCATGGTGGGGGACACCAGAAATTGGCTTCACACATAGTACCCATGATGGGAATTGAACCTGGGTCTTAGGCGTGATGAGCAGACACTTTAACCACTAGGCTACCCCACCGCCCCCAAGTGAGGAACAGTGTGATAATTGTGATCAAACTCGGACATCCTCCAAATCTAATGCAATAAGCAAACACAATAATATGGATTCAACTAGGCTCCAATAATTTTCACATCAGTATCTTGGCAATTCTGTATATTAACCAAAGACAGTGTGCATGAAGATAGGTGTGGCGGTTGACATCCAGTGCTTTCCAGTAGCTTCCATTATTATACTCAGTAAACATTCCTATGCATTATAATAGTGTTGGGAATTGGTTAAAATCTCATAATTGATGATTGGTTCATTACAACCGATCAGTCATCGAAAATAATTGGTTAGCATCATTTATGAAATTTGTTAATGTACACAAAAAATAAGAAAAATAAAATGAAGTCCTTTGGGGGGGTGTTGGGCAAAATTTCACATCTTTAAAGGATGACTAGTATGTTAGGAACATAAATTTCTTGGAGTCTTTAAGACAAATTCAATCATGACTTGGAGCGAAAGCTAGTATGTTAGGAACATGTTTAAGAGGCAGTGCTTTTGAAATGTATCAGACCAAACCAACCTTGAGGGAGTGAGTGAGTATGATTTTTTGCCGTTTTAGCAATATTCCAGCAATATCACAGCAGGGGACACAAGAAATGGGCTTCACATATTGTACCCATGTGGGGAATCGAACCCGGGTCGTTGGCATCATGAGCCAATGCTTTAACCACTAGGCTACCCCACCGCCCCTACCAACCTTGAGAAAAATATTGTTAATGAAAACAAGTGTTCCAGAATTGTTTGTGTTCGATTATGAGAAAACTTGGTCGTTTAGTCACTGCGACCAATCTTCGATTATTTCAATTAATCGGACCACCACTACATTATAATGCAAATTGCTGAATGAAAACAATATATATGCATTAGTTCCCATTTATGTGACCCACACTGTTGGGATATGACAACAGGATTTCTGACATGATGGAATAGAAATATCACTGATCGTAGCATCGAGACAGCTGAGATGGCTTTGCAAGCTTGAAACCCTTAAGAAGTTCTATTCTGGCCAAACAAGGTCTTGCCATCCTGCTCTGCTTGATTTAATTTCACTTAATTCACCTTGACTTATCCCTTATCAAACCCTTATAACACCATAAAGACAATATTTACCTTGAAATATTTATTACAAAAGATGAATATCATCTTACAAGGCATATCTGTGAATATAATAAAACATTTTTCCCTGTTTCTACTTCAATCATTTGTTTGAACCCATTCCAGCACTGTCCTCCTTCAGTTCATCACTGACTGAAGGTTTGCCCTCCCCTTCCGTCTCATCTTTGGAAACCTCATCATCTTGGGCAAATTCAGTGTGCTTAACATTGTCGGTCAGACTCGAGGCAGTGTCTGCGGCAGACTGAGAATGACCTGAAGCAGTGTCTTAGACACTGTCTGTCCGACTCGAAGCAGTGTCTGGGGCACTGTCTGTCCGACTCGAAGCAGTGTCTTGGGCACTGTCTGTCCGACTCGAAGCAGTGTCTTGGGCACTGTCTGTCCGACTCGAAGCAGTGTCTTGGGCACTGTCTGTCCGACTCGATGCAGTGTCTTGGGCACTGTCTGTCCGACTCGAAGCAGTGTCTGGGAGCCCACTGCCTGTCTGACTCGAAGCAGCGTCTGGGGCACTAACTGGGGCACTCCGAGCCTGACTTGAAGTGTCATCCCCCATCTCTGTCCTAGTCTGTTGGTCAGTCTTGTTGCTGCTGTTGTCCATGTCCCTCTCAAACAGTATGATGAGTTCACAGTGGGGAGTCTGGGGGAACAGGTCAACAGGTATGGCCTTGACCGGCAGGAAGGGCCCTCCTCGATGCTTGTTGCTCTCCATGCGAATGAGACTGGAATGTGAATGCAGATGGTGAGAAAAAGGTTATCAGTGTCCAAATGTGATGCAATATCCCTCAATGGAATTTAAAGGGGAGTATTTAAAGTAATACTCATTCGCTAGGTCTTTCACAAGCTTGTAAACAATGTAGTCATCCCAGGGAGTGCAATGAGAAGTATCAGGGCAAATCAACAACAGCAGGACCTCTGAACATCTTTTTATTTACTGTATAATGCGTCAACAAGCAATATGGTTTTACCTTCATGTCAAATACTTTAATTTCATTGGTCAGTCCCGCTTTAACAAGTTTCTGTGTCACCCTTTACTCACTGGGATGACTCTATTGTTTACAAGCTTGTGAAAGACCTACCAACTGAGTATTGCTTTAAATACTCCCCTTTAAATTTCATTGAGGGATATTGCTACAAAAATATTGTATTACCTACTAGAGAAGCATGCAACTTATATTCCAACTCTTTGCTCAACCTGTGATCAATGTAGTCTGGACAAGACATCCCAGTATAAGCAATATCAGTGCAAATCAACTGTCATAGGATTCTGGCATGCCCAAGGGAGGCTACTCTGCATAGCAAATTCTGGTAAGTCAGACAACTGACCATGGCAGCCACCAATCCTTTAGTGACAATGAGGATTCCTGGACTGACCGGAGAGTTTAGTTTAACATCCCTTCCAACAGTATTTCAGTTATATTTAAAGTGTGCTTCATGTGGAAAGAAAACCCAAGGTGACGGAGGCCTTTGAAATACTTTGGTTAAACCTTCGAGTAGAGGAACAGTGTTGACAAAGCTTGAAATATGATCATGGCAAATCTGGATTCAGACTGATATATTTTTAGACTGATACAGCACTGCACAGGCTCTGGGCCACCTGTGTCTCACTGCCTAATACATCAGTGATGATACTTACTCAATAAAGTTTGTTTTGGCAGACTTGGCGTTGCATGCAACATAGATGAGCCTCTTCAGCTTGTGACACCCTCGGAGAGCCTTGATAACCTTCTTGTCTGAAAATACACGATTCATTTACAGTGGTTGATAGCATGAACAACAGACAAGATTCAAATGCAGAAACAATCAGCCGCTTCATCCACTATGAATGAATTTAATCAGCAGATGTAACTTGAACTGATACTTAATTATACTTCAGTTGCAAAATATGATTTGAATTTAGACAAAATTACACAAAAAAAGATCACAATGCTGTGGGTTACATGCAATGCATTATTTCAGTTGTGGGTGATGAAAGCTTAAGATGTTAACCACTTTATATAACTCCACAAGCAGTTGTATGCCATTGAAAAATAGAAACATAATCAATTCTAACATTTATTCAAACCATGATTAAAGGTTTCTGCTCAATGATGCAGAATGTTAGGTGTATGTAAGCTGTCTGTTGAGTGAGTGAGTTTAGTTTAACGAAGCATGCAGCAATATTCCAGCTATATGGTGGCGGACTGTAAATAATCGAGATCTGGTTAATAATACCAGACAATTCCAGCTTATGGATCTAACATCAGTGAGCATCTAGTTCAAACAGCATGGTTTCTGGATACGATGGCGTCTGTTGATTGTCAACCAAGTCAGCAATCCAGCTGTATGGTGGCAGCCTGACCACCACGATTCGTTTCAGCCTTTTATGACATGGGTTACTGAAGATCCCTGGTTAACGCTGATCTTAACAGGTAGCTATCTGTTGGGAGGAACACATATGGTAAAGAATGTTTTCTGTTCACTGCACAACTTGTGACATATTTTAAGTCCCTATATTTCCAAACAGAAGCGATGCAGAAGAGAATGATAAATTGAAAGTCAAGTATATAACACAAAAACATGGATTGGACAGAGTTATATATAGTTCTTTAAGTATTATGTCACTGGATTGTAAGCTTGTTTTGCGATGTCATAGTACTGCATGACTTCCACCAAATGAATGTCATTAAAAAAGAATTATTTCAGAACAAATCGCTGAATTCAAAGCAACACACATCTTTCCATGATGCAGGGCTGGTCATATTTTACAGAATTTTCAACTTACGTAACCCAGCTCTTGGTGGGTCTACAATGGCTACAACGTCTTTTGACCACAACGATGACGTCATGTGACTGATGACGTCCTCTGCCTTGCCGCAGTAGTACCTCACATTGGTCACACCTGGCGATGACAACACGATTATACTCAGCAACACAATCTGATAAGCCATCAGGCCTCATAATTTCATCTTCATCCAAATAAAGGCTGGAAACAACTTTAAAATTGCATGTACAGGGGTGGTAAAATCACTAAGTAAGTTTTCCACTATACCGTCCGTTTTCTTGTTGATTTTTTACATAAACAACATAATTAACGTTGGAAAGTCAACTGGACACCGGTACAGTGTGATATACAAATTTGCTTGGGCAACAGTAAAAAACACTGGACTCGGACGTCGGGCAATGGGTTCTTTCCACCCCTGTACATGAGTATTTAGGAGTTGACAGTCTACAAAGTCAACACTGAAGTGGTTGGTTAGTGGTTGCGTTGTTGTTTAATGCCACTCTCAGCAATATCCCAGCTATATGGCTGCGGTAAATAATCAAGTCTGGACCAGACAATTCAGTGATCAACATCATGACCATCGATCTACACAATTGGGATGCGATGGCATGTCTCAACCAAGTCAGCGAGTGTGACCACCTGATCTCATTAGCCACCTGTAAGACAAGAATGGGTTGATGAAGACCAGTTCTAACCCGGGTCTTCACGAGTCTGGTACTCAAGTAAGTGAAGCTGTTTTTTATACATATCTTCAGCCATCATGCTGTTCGTTTTCGTAAAGCTGCATTGAGTATGTGTGCAGCCTGTAAAGGAGGTGAGGTGAGGTGAAATTGGGTTTTACGTCGTACTTGAGAATATTTCGCTCATATGATGACGTGCATGCGTGTGTATGTGTATGTGCGGCTGCTTGTACTAGCCCAAGCTTGTTTTATAGTGCTAGCTCACTGAGATACCATGCCGCAGTGAAGCATGAACACCCCACTCAGACACATTATACTGACTCCGAGCCGACCCATTGTACCCATTAATGGCGAGCACCAGCCAGGGACCAACAAGTACCATATTTTAACGCTCTTTTGGTATGACGCGACCGGGTTCGAACCAGCGACCTTCCGCTCTCGGTAAGGCTCTAACCACTACACCACGGAGGTGGTTGATTTTACCCAATGATATTTGACTGCAGATAAGCAACCATATCATTAAGCCTGACACCTGGTTCACTTAGCTGCCTCTTACAACAAGCATGCACTCAGCGAGACTCTCCACATAGCCCATGACAGTGTGGAACACCATCAATGGACTTCTCATAAACAAGGATGTGACTATGGATATCTGGCTGTGAACTGTTCTTCAGGCAGCTCTGGTAATATTTAGTTCAAGTGAAGAAAAGAGCGACGTGACCTCATACTGACCATTTAACTTTGCATTTTCCTTGGCATCTTCGACAGCCTGCTGACACATCTCCACCCCGAGCACCTTCTCCACTCTCTGGAACACATGGACTGGGATCAGACCTGCTGCCCATGTTATACAGTGATCTTAGGACTCCCTGAGTCATACAGTGATCTTAGCTCTTCCTAAGCAAACCAGTGATCTTAGTACTACCGGATTTAAATAGTGATCTTGGCACTATCTGAGTTAAATAGTGATCTTAGTACTACCTGAGTTAAAAAAGTACTACCTGAGTAAAACAGTGATCTTAGTACTACCTGAGTTAAATAGTGATCTTGGCATAGCCTGATCTTAGCATGCCCTAAATTACATGTTAATCTCCACACTACCTTAGCTAGAGTGAGACTGGTGTCCTACCAAGTGAGACCTACAGGCTTAGCCAGGGTTAGATCTACATGTTCTACCTTAGTGAGGGTGAGACCTATAGTCCGTGTCCTACCTTAGCGGGTGAGACCTATAGTCCCTGTGTCCTACCTTAGCCAGGGTGAGACCTATTGTCCCTGTGTCCTACCTTAGCCAGGGTGAGACTTATAGTCCGTGTCCTACCTTAGCCAGGGTGAGACCTATAGTCCGTGTCCCTACCTTAGCCAGGGTGAGACCTGTTGTCCTGTGTCCTACCTTATCCCTGTGTCCTACCTTAGCCAGGGTGAGACCTATTGTCCCTGTCCCACAGCATATATCCAGGACAGTTGTTGACGGGGTGAGGCCACACCATTCGCCCAGCTGGCTGTACAAGACCTCAGCGGCTTTAGTGTTCACTGAAACCAAAACATACCTGAGTGAATGGCATGGTAGATATCTCTATTCTCATCTGTTGTAGTGAGTGAGTGAGTGAGTGAGTGAGTATGGTTTAACGCCGCTTTTAGCAATATTCCAGCAATATCACGGCGGGGAACACCAGAAATGGGTTTCACACATTGTACCCATGTGGGGAATCGAACCCTGGTCTTTGGCGTGACGAGCCAACGCTTAACCACTAGGCTACCCCACCACCCCTTATGTTGTAGGTTTGTCTGTTGTTTTATGCCACACTCAGCAACATTTAACTACTAAAACAAATTACAAAAACAACATAAGAGTAAACCAACCTTGGAAGAAAGCATCAGGGGAAATTCTGAACTTCAGTCCCAGGACATCTTCATAGATATGCTGAAAAATATCAGAGTGAGCGAGTGAGTTGATGGGTGGGAGAGTTGGTTTTGGTTTTTGGGTTGGTGAGTGAGTGAGTGAACTGGTTTTAACACTCTGGTCTTGGTGTTCTTAATTTTAGAGATGCTTTAGCATAAACACCTTGTCCCAATGTTTTCTCTTTAGGCCAGACCAATTTTATTTCTTGTTTTACGGATCCGCCGATCGCATTTTTTCAAGAATAAGAAAAAAAATAAAATAAAAAATTTCCACGCTCCAAAAAATAAAATCCTCATGTTTTCATTGGCAAAATATGTAAAATTACCCCAAAAATTTTTGATTGTTTTTTGGCCCATATACACTTCATAACTTGCCAAAAATAAAATACTTTTAGTATGCAAAAGGAATATTACTTTGACTGGTGATTTTTATTTTTTATTTTCTTCCCTCCTGCCTTTAGGTTTTCTGAGGACAAAAATCTGTAAAACAAGAAATACAATTGGTCTGGCCTTACTTGTTTTATGTCCATGAAAATCATGTCACCATTGAAAGTCTGAAACATTACACAACAAGAATTTCTGATGGATGAAAGTGAAGGAACATACATAAACCCATATACTCACAGTTTCACCAAACACAAGCTCATATGGTTCATTCTTCTCAGATGATGCTCTGAAAAATATTTACAAATCAAGATTACAATCACCTTAAAATAGCTAAAAGACTTAATCTATACACAAATCATGTTACTCTATTTATCCATCCTGTTCAAGGCAATTTTACGCAATAACCAAGAGCGCTCCGTAGATTCCCTGCTAACTTCCCATGGAGACTAGACTGTGATTTCAGTCGGCTGACAGGCTTATGATAACAAGCTCTTTAAGAGTGAGTGAGAATGGTATTACACAGCTTCAGCAATATTCCAGCAACATCCCAGGGGTGACACCAGACACTGGCTTCACACATGGCTTGGTTTAGTTGTTGTTTACTGCTACACTCAGCAATATTCCAGATATGGGGACAATGTGTGAAGCCCATTTCTGGTGTCCCCAGCATTGAAGTTGCTGGAATATTGCTCAATGGGCGACAAAAAACCAAACTCATTCACTTAAAAAGATTCTAAGGTAATTGCTTGTTATTATTGATGTTGCTGATGTTGTTACTCTATATCTCCTCTTACCTGGTCCTGCTTTGATGGAAGTACATGGATGTTACTCTATATCTCCTCTTAGATGGAAGTACATGGATCCTGCTTATGATCTTACCTGACCCTGCTTCTGATGGAAGTACAGGATGTTACTCTATCTTACTCACTGGCTTGCTTTGATGGAAGCACATGGATTCCAGCAATATCATGGCGGTGCTTTGATGGAAGTACATGGATGTTACTCTATATCTCCTCTTACCTGGCCCTGCTTTGATGGAAGTACATGGATGTTACTCTATATCTCCTCTTACCTGGCCCTGCTTTGATGGAAGTACATGGATGTTACTCTATATCTCCTCTTACCTGGCCCTGCTTTGATGGAAGTACATGGATGTTACTCTATATCTCCTCTTACCTGGTCCTGCTTTGATGGAAGTACATGGATGTTACTCTATATCTCCTCTTACCTGGCCCTGCTTTGATGGAAGTACATGGATGTTACTCTATATCTCCTCTTACCTGGCCCTGCTTTGATGGAAGTACATGGATGTTACTCTATATCTCCTCTTACCTGGCCCTGCTTTGGAAGTACATGGATGGGCCCTGCTTTGATGGAAGTACATGGATGTTACTCTATATCTCCCTCTTACCTATATCTCCTCTTACTGGCTTTGATGGAAGTACATGGATGTTACTCTATCTCTCCTCTTACCTCTGCTTTGATGGAAGTACATGGATGTTACTCTATATCTCCCTGGTGGCCCTGCTTTGATGGAAGTACATGGATGTTACTCTATATCTCATCTTACCTGGTCCTGCTTTGATGGAAGTACATGGATGTTACTCTATATCTCCTCTTACCTGGCCCTGCTTTGATGGAAGTACATGGATGTTACTCTATATCTCCTCTTACCTGGCCCTGCTTTGATGGAAGTACATGGATGTTACTCTATATCTCCTCTTACCTGGCCCTGCTTTGATGGAAGTACATGGATGTTACTCTATATCTCCTCTTATGGCCCTGCTTTGATGGAGAGTACATCTTATCTCCTCTTACCTGGCTTTGATGGAAGTACATGGATGTTACTCTATATCTCCTCTTACCTGGCCCTGCTTTGATGGAAGTACATGGATGTTACTCTATATCTCCTCTTACCTGGCCCTGCTTTGATGGAAGTACATGGATGTTACTCTATATCTCCTTTTTACCTGGCCCTGCTTTGATGGAAGTACATGGATGTTACTCCTGACTCCCTTCCCTTTCCCTCAGTAAAGTACACTCGGATCAATTCCTTCTCTGCCTCCAATGCCTCCTACAAGGGAAGCATGAACTGGGTTTAAAGTCACTTCCAACATTATTTCAGTTAAATCGCAGACATTGAGTTTGAGGTTTAAAAGTACTGCAGCCCTGGAGTGGTGTAGACAAACCATGAGATTCATCTAGGATTCAAACACATGACTCTTGCTCCAAACTCTACATAACGGTGTCTACCCAACTGGATTTCTCATGCATCTCAAATAGGAACATTCTTTCAACACAACATCAATTCCGTGTTGCAACACACTGGATTACAACCATAAATGCTCAGGTTTCTTGTTTAACACTGTTTCCTGTTTATTGTTTAACGACACACTCAGCAGTATACCAGTGATATGGATGCTGAGGTCTGTAAATAATGGATTAAAGCATTGATCTACACAATTGGGATCCAAAGACATCATGAACCAAGTAAGCCTGACCACCCTATCAGAATAGACGACAACCATAGATTGTTGAAGACCAATTCTAACCCTGATCTTGTCAAACACTGCATTCAATGTGCAAAGCAATGTTTAGTTCTTTAGTATGCAATAAAGTTCTAAATAAGATCATGATGCACTCAGAAAATTCATACATTGTGTCTCTCTCAAATATTCGACGATTAGGTCAAACACATTTAAAGTATAGCTATTGGTTGGTTGCTTAACGCTGCACTCAGCAATATTCCAGCTATATGGCGGCAGTCTGTAAATAATTAAATCAGGACCAGACAATCTAGTGATCAACAGCATGAGCATCAATCTATGCCATTATGATACGATGATGTGTGTCAGCGAGTCTGACCAACTGATCCTGTTTCTCGCCTCTTACGACAAGCATGGTTTGCTGAAGACCAATTCTAACCCAGATCTTCATGGGTAGCTGTTCAGGGATGTGATTTACACTCAGCTGAGAGCACATGACAAGGGAGATAACTCTTCAAACCTTGGCGAGTTGCTGAGGATGGAACTCTGCAATGGCCATGACGTCCTTCCCTGTCGTGGTTCTGACTGTCAGCTGGTGCCAGTGGCCGGAATGGTTCTCAGGGTTGAACACAGAGTACTGGCTTGTGGTCAAATAGTGCTGGAAGGCCTGGAGGGAGGAGATGTAAGTTCTACTGATGCAATGAAGTTAACTTTTGAAGTCTTATACTGAAATATTCACACAGTGGCAATCTTTTTGTATTGTTTCATACACAGCACTGACCACTCTTCAAGCATATAGCTATCTCTTCACTCTATCACTGGATTCTCTTGTCCAGACAGCAGTCTGCAAATGATCAAACCTGGACAAGAGAATCCAGTGACAGACATCATGGGCATCGATATTCACAATTTGTATACAATGACTTGCATAACATGCAACCCTGTCAGTTGCCATGACAATGACAAGTTACTGATGACCAATTAACCCCCTTTCACAGGGTCATTGCACATGTTTTGCTGTTTCAAATTTATGAAGTGAACAAAAACAGCAAATCTGGCCAGTGCATTTATCACATTAAATTGGAAATATAATACACTAGAAATTCAAGCATGAAAACAATAATAGTCTACAGACAAATCACAAGTCCAAAAGGGAAGGATACAAGAAGCGCTAGTCATATCACGTCATCTGAACCATGAAAATGAGGCATATACTAAACCTACATTATTTATGATTCCTGCACACAGTGACACCCCTTGGGCACACTAAAACTATATGAACGTGGGTTTGAGTGCTGGTCTGTCACTAATTTGTTTCTTGGTTTGAAGGCTCCATACCAGCCCTCTTGGATGTCAAGGTGGTAGACTTCTGATAACTGCCTCACTGTTTTGTTTGTTTGTTTGTTTGCTTGTTTATTGTTTAACGCCACACTCAGCAATATTCCAGTTAGGAAGGCGTTTCCTATTCTCGCGGTACTTAAGGATATCGGCTGAAAAAATAACACAAACAATTCTTATCGTATTCATGCTTGTTGTTTTTAAATGAAGGGCCTTCTCCTCTAACATCTACATCTATCAGCTGCCAGATCCATCGGTGAATTACCACTTGTGACACAGGTGAGAAACAATGCCATCCGCCATTGATAAACAATTCCATTACCAGCCATTGTTATTGAGTGTAGGAGCAATTCTGCGGATTCTGCGGAAAAAGTAATGATGTCCAGGTATAAACTTACCAATATTCGTGACACTGCAAGATTTTGATCACTCACAGACTTGGGCCACTTCCTAGTTACCAGTCGGTGATGTAAACAACCACTAAGTGTCGCGCATCGGCGATTTCGGCAGAAAACGTGTTTACCGCGAGAATAGGAAACCCGCGAGAATAGGAGACGGACCTATATATGATGGCAGTCTGTACATAATTGAATCTGGAACAGACAATCCAGTGACCAACAGCATAAGCTTTGCAATTGGGATATGATGACATGTGTCACAATCCTGTTAGTGGCCTCTTTCGACAAGCATGGGTTGCTGAAGACAAATTCTTACCCAGATCTTCACAGGTTTCAGGTTTTACTCTCAGATTAAGCTGGCATGACATGACACAATTGAAATACTTGAAGTGTTAAACTCATTTACTCCTTACACCTGTCTTACATAACCCCCCTACCTGTACAACTTTCTTCATGGAGTCAGGAATGATAGGGATGTCGTCAGGGGGTCCCACATTACAATGTCCATCTTTGTAAAGACCGAAGCGGAATCCAACAATTGCATCTGTCAACAAAGAGTGAATGAGTATGGTTTTACGTCTATATTGTACCTCCCAACTTCTAAAATGTCACTCAAAGAAGTCACTCAACATGGTATTCAGTTCAGACAGTAACTGAAATTCTATGCTTTTAATAAGAAACAAATATACCTGGGTACTTTTTTCAAAGCCACTTTCTGGCATTCGCTGTCAGGATATTTCTGTAACACATTGCTGAAAATAACATAAAACTTGAGACAAAGAAGGTGTACCAAAGAAACGCCTTTGTCCTACACGAGTCACTCTGCCCTTGATTATCCACAGTGATAGTGCTGGGATTTTCCTGTGGCAAAAACAAAGAAAACATTCAAGCACCACTACCCTACCTTCATCATTGACGCCCTTCCCAATGGAGAACTCAGACTTGTTCCTGTAGCCGAGAAGCAGAGGCTGTAACAGAAGCAATAATTCCATGACTAACTTCATGTGTCAACTAATCACCTTCAGGACATTCATTTAATGTACATTTTTGCTAGAAAACGAACACATCAGGGACAGGTTATGAAACTTCTTGGGCTGAGGGCCAGTAGAATAATGTTTTCTCTCATCCTCAGGGACCGTGGTGTAGAGCGTCTGCTCGGAGTTAGGAAATTCAGCGGGTTTGATCCCCGGCCGTGTCATACCAAAAGACTTTAAAATATGGTACTTGTTGGTCCCTGCCTGGTGCTCAGCATTAATGGGTACAACAAGGACTGGTCGACCTTCGGAGTCAGTATAATGTGTCTGAGTGGGGTATTCATGCTTCACTGCGGCATGGTATCTCAGTGGGCTAGCACTATAAAACCAGCTTCAGTCTGGGCTAGTACAAGCAGCCACACATACACATACACATGCATGCACGTCGTCATATGAGCAAAATATTCTCAAGTACGATGGTAAACGCTATTTCACCTCACCTCAGGGATACTCCTTTAAACATGTTTAATCATCTCGGATCATGGATGCGCTATATATATGGTTAGTTATCATTGGCATTTTGACAACTTTCAAATTTTTCTGCAAAATGCGACTGACAGTGACTGAAGAAAAACACCTGTTGTCCCTCTTTTATGAACATGTCCAATATTCCAATATATCTAACATCGAGCAACTTCTGAAATTTGGCATAAGATTTTAAGAAGTTTGACAACTTGTGTTTTCACTTGACAAATATATGTTGTGTCTTAGTTCCTCTTAATTTGCAATTGCTGACACTGGTTTGAAGCAGTAAGTAAAATCATACAATTCCGTTAATTTTCATTACTTATTGACTATCTTACCTCATTAGCTTAAATCTAAACATAACTTCAGTGGCAAAAGTTTGATGTCTTTGGTAAGCTTTGATGTCTACTTTGATGATGTCATCAAGCAGGTGTCATATGCGGGTTTGGGGCACAAAATGGCTAATGGTCCAAAGCATTTCACGTGAGGGTACTTAATCCTTGTAACATATGTTATATTTGGGATTACACTTTCTTAGTAAATTACAAATTCTAGTACTTTTTTTAGTTGAGCCCCATCCGGGATTCAAACTCACACCCTCACGCCTGACTCTGAGGGTGTGAGTTCGAATCCTGGATGGGGCTCAACTCAAAAAAGTACTAGAATTTGTACTTAACTAAGAAAGTGTAATCCCAAATATAACATATTTCTAAATGGCATTGTGTAATCATACTTAATCCTTGTTTGAACGTTTATCATATTTTATACAGTATTTTGTTCAACTCACCGATGGCTTGATTGGAAACAGTTTACAGCACAGGCCATCATTCACCTTCCTGAAACATTAAAGTAAGGACAGAGTGACGTGGTTTCTCCTCTCACAGAGTGAGAGAGTTTTTGTTTTATTTCTAACGTTTTGGTTTACCACTTCTGACCATCAGGCTGACATAACTCACTCAGTTCTTTGAATTTCCATGTCTTCATTCACCCAATACTCATTAAGCTGCTTTCTCAACAACTAGTAGCATGCCACACAACTGCAAGACAGAACAAGTGTTTGCCACTGATATGGCAATGTCCCCGGCCGCTAAAGAATGGAATATTTATAACACATTTCCTACTTTTGGGGGGTCACATACAAGATGCCTGAAATGACTGGTGTCTGCATAATCCCCCAACATAGGCTGTTACCAAATTTGAAGACATTGGGTACAACAGTTCATGAGATATCACGCGTTAACAAGAGTTTCAAAAGTGGTCAAAGTGTCGTGGTGACCTTGAAAATAAGGTCAAGGTCACCAAAATCGACTGGTGTCTGGGTAATCCCCAATGTAGGCTGTCACCAAATTTGAAGACATTGGGTACAACAGTCTTCCGTGTTGCAGCTGGGGACAACAACCTAAATGTAACCATTTTAAATGATAAATCCCACACAACTAGGTATAGTCCATTCGGGTTCAAATGAGAATGATGAATGATTAAATATCTCAAATAGGGATAAGTGCACAAAACATAAATAAGACACATGGTCCTGAAACCTCTACCCAACAGGATCTGAAATGGTTTAAGAAACCATCATGTAATATTGTGCTATTTTCACGCTTCACACTGGGGGGTGACAACGGCTGGTGGAACAGCACCATCATACATTCAGGAGCAACTCAGCACAGCTAGGTGAGATGACCCCAGCTAGTCAGGCACTGTTCCACCAGCCGTTTCTCACCCCCTGGTGTGAAGCATGAACATAGCTCAAGTTTATATGATAGTTTCTTAATTCCATGATCAACCGAAAAACGTCAGATTTCAGATCCCGCTGGGTACAGAGGTTTCAGGACCATGTGTCTTATTTATGTTTTGTGAACTTATCCCTATATTGAGTTATTTAATCATTTGTCGCTCTCATTTTAACCCAAACGGACTATAGTTGCAGCCGTGTTGTAAGACACAGGACTTGCCCTGATTCCTACTGCAAGTTACAGACTCTCGACCAATCAAATCGTCTAGATCTATGTCCACCTCAGAATGATGTCCCTTTGTTTGTGTCACATCATGTCTGACACAAGGACTGAAGAAACTTCATCTTACCAGAGAAGCGAGTTTGGTCTTTGTGAACTCACTAGTGTTGGGAACTGGTTGAAATCTCACAATTAATGATTCCTTCATTAGCAATATTCCAGCAACATCAGGTTGTTATTGCAGGGATGCACCAGAAATGGGCTTCAAAGTGATGACTAATATATCATGAGTCACATTGTACCCATGTGGGGAGTCAGTAACCGGGTCTTCTAAGAATTAAACGCTTTTCAGGCCCACTTTCAACGATACCCCACCGCCCTGTCTGACACAGGACTGAAGAAACTTCATCTTACCAGAGAAAAAAACTGATCTGTGAGAACCCAGCTGTGAACTCCAACACTAAGACTTTCTTCTTTTTTCATTATTTCAATATATCTAAACACCACTAGCTTCTTCTTCACAAACTCCAGGCTTTCTTTTTCAGTAACTGCAATATATCTACTAACATTAACACTAAAGCGTTATGTCTTCTTCACTTGAAGAATCCATGATGCTATATCATGTGGAGGGACACCAGAATCTTGTGAGATACAAGTATATGCTACTTAAAATCTACACAAAACCAAAGTTGTTATGATCTCTACTGTTACTACAAGTCATATGCTACATAGAGGATACTAAACGACCTTTTGTGTAATACCATTTTTATTAAACAAGTTAAAAAGATTTGGTATCAAACGAGTAAAAGCAAGTTTGATACTAAATCTTTCACGAAGTTTAACAAAAATGGTATTTCACGGAAACGAGTTTAGTATTCTGTTTATTACTCTCCAACAGAAATTGATAGAAACTGCTTACAATGTGATGACTCTCTGCTTTCCGTGAGTCAAGCATGGTCTAATATTACACAGCAGTATCATCCATTATTACCCTTTAGATAAATTTGTCAAATTCTGATTGGTCAATAGCCAAAGCATACCAAACCATGTAGGCGGATTTGCCAGGGTATACGGAACCGTACACCCTGTCAAATCTGTCATATGACATACTACACGGGTTGTACGAATGACCTTGACATGAGATGGAATGTGGCTGCCAAATGGCTGATCGCTTCGAAATTTTAGAGTTGGCATATACAATTTTGAGTACAAACAGAGTAATAAAATTGTTGCCATAATTTCTTATTTGTTTGTGTCAATAAATATATCTAAAATATATAATGTTTCTGCATTTCACTTGTCGTTTAACAAAACCTCAAATTCGATAATTTTATCATAAACTAAGCCATCCCAAGTTATCTCCCTTTATGACCATTCAGGAAAAATCATAGCTAAACATTTTGCATCTCATTCTGCCGATGATTGAATGTTGGTGTTTAAAGATAACAAAATAAAAACATCTTAAGGGTAAATAAATTCCCCTCAGGAACTACAGAATTGACATGGGTCTTACAGTCCCGTACACTCTTACAAAACACTGCGTAAATAATATGAGCGAGTAGTACAAGTTGTTACTACTAGTTGCACCGAGAGAGCATGGCGAGTGAGAACTGTTGCAAACCAAGAAGCAATCAGGGCAAACCAAGAAGCAGTCAGGGCAAACCAAGAAGCAATTAGGGCAAACCAAGAAGCAATCAGGGCAAACCAAGAAGCAATCAGGGCAAACCAAGAAGCAATCAGGGCAAGAAGCAATCAGGGCAAACCAAAGGAGCAATCAGGGCAAACCAAGAAGCAATCAGGGCAAACCAAGAAGCAATCAGGGCAAACCAAGAAGGCAAACCAAGAAGCAATCAGGGCAAACCAAGAAGCAGTCAGGGCAAACCAAGAAGCAGTCAGGGCAAACCAAGAAGCAGTCAGGGCAAACCAAGAAGCAATCAGGGCAAACCAAGAAGCAATCAGGGCAAACTCATACCAACAACAGGTTTCTCACATGCCAAGGATAAACTCTTGACAACAAATTGCTGTGCGTTAGAAAATCAGACTGGCCTGTGCACATAGTAGAAGCAAATGATACTGGGGATTATTTACGCTCCTGAAAATAAACTAGCCTCTTGACACTGTGCACACTAACTACTGGTACCTCTGTTCACGGAATATATTTCTGGTCTCTCCATTTCCGCCGAGCCACTTTAGCACATCTGCAATATCAGCTTGCTTCCTCTGGAAACATAATCATTAGTACTGATTTCATTTTGACAGACCAAGACTGTGCTTAACACTTTGGTTCACATTTGATTTACATTTTGCTGAGGGCGGTGGGGTAGCCTAGTGGTTAAAGCATTTGCTCGTCATGCCGAAGACCCAGGTTCGATTCCCCACATGGGTACGATGTGTGAAGCCCATTTCTGGTGTCCCCCACTGTGATATTGCTGAAATATTGCTAAAAGCGTCGTAAAACCAAAGATGGTGTTGATAGGCCAAGATGTATACATGAGTGATATACCTGATTCAAACCTTATCCAGACTATTGCATCAACCATGCCAATTACTTCTACCCCTCCAAAAGGCATTTGCATTGGAAATGAGTGAGTGAGTGTAGTTTTACACAGCTTTTAGCAATATTCCACCAATATCACAGCGGGGGACACCAGAAATGGGCTTCACACATTGTACCCATGTGGGGAATTGAACAAGGGTCTTCGGCATGACGAGAGAACGTTTTAATCACTAGGCTACCCTACTGCCCCATTTAAATTGGAAGACATTACGTACAAAGTGGTGAAACAGCATCACATACAAGACAAATATCTGACCATTAAAGACAAAATGGTTGAAACATATTAATGTCATATACCAGTGGCAAAAGAGGAAGAATATTTGAGAGTATTGTTTCTGAACATCCATGAACAAGAACTTTTGTTGACGCCTGACTGACCTTCAGTTGTTCTTCGTAAGGAACCCCCCAGTAGGGTACAACACACTTCAGGAGCCTATAACAAACAAATGTTTAATGACGGTGTGCAGCTAATGAAAGCTGGGGCCCACACCACACCGATGCCAGCAGTAATATCTCCATGTAAACGTGTTCCTGAAAAGTAAACACTCAACAGACACTTGTCTGCAAGCAAAAAATGCTTGTTCAAATTATTGACCCAAAATGATATTTAGTCACAAAATAAAAGATACCAATGCATTTCCCAGTGATGACTAACGAATCTGTTTATTGCTAGGCCACAATCAAATCACAACCAACCAATCACAGTGTGTCCTAAAGTGGAATCAAACTCACGACACGGACGTAGATAATACACTGCCATTATCTGCACTGGTCATACGCATGAGGTTTACATGTTTACAAAGCTATATGTAGTGCTTAAAGGTCTGTTATATTTTAAGACCGCCTCCGTGGTGTAGTGGTTAGAGCGTCCGCCCGGAGAGCGGACGGTCGCGGGTTCGATCCCTGGCCTCGTCATACCAAAAGACGTTAAAATTTGGTACTTGTTGCTCCCTGCCTGGCTCTCGGCATTAATGGGTACAACAAGGACTGGTCGGCTCGGAGTCAGTATAATGTGTCTGAGTGGGGTATTCATGCTTCACTGCGGCATGGTATCTCAGTGGGCTAGCACTATAAAACCAGCTTAAGTCTGGGCTAGTACAAGCAGCCGCAGATACACATACACACGCATGCACGTCGTCATATGAGCGAAATATTCTCGAGCACGACGTTAAACCCAATTTCACCTCACCTGTTATATTTGAAAGTTGTCTGCGATCAACTAAGGTTGGTTGTTTAGTCTACCTGGTGATCTGACATAACCAGTAAGTACTGATTTACCACATACATATAGACATCAAAGACTGAGAAGAAAATATAGCAGAATGAGTACATCACTTTAAATGCAATTTCTTTAAATTTTGAAATTACAAACACATCATCAGGCTTGAAGTTCACGTTTTGTTTGTTGGTTGATAAAAGCTGACAAACTGCAGCTGTCTGACACCTGTCTAAACAATCAAGTCTGGACCAAACAAACAGATGATTGATGTCATGATACAAGTATTCGAGTATGTTTATTCATATTAAAGGCCATATGACCCATTGTACATATTCATTAAACATTCAAAGCAATTTGACAGTAAGTTGGAGTTTACAGTTCTCCTCGTTGTTTAAACACATGGAAAATATATTTAGCTAAATTATTAATGGTTTCGAGTTTCGAGAATTGAAGAGTGAATAAATAGATATGTAATGTCCATCGTTTTTCTTTGGAATTAGTTCTTTTCTTATGTCCGTAAACATGGTGCAGTCGTACAATATATGACTCTCATCTTCGAGGGATAAACAGGTCGTACACAATATATCGATGTCATCTAAGGTGCTCTGTCCTCTTTTAGTTTCATCACTCCAATGTTCACATTGCCACTTCGAAATTTAGTTAAGATCCGTCTTTGAATAGGTGATGTTACTACAGATAAATAATACCATACAATGCAATCAACCTACTATGAAATCCTCACCTCTTACAACAAGGTCGCTGAGAAAATCTTTACCCAGTATCTCCTTGAATACAGTACTGAATGTTGGGTAATGGACAAGTATATGGACACGTCCCTACCTGACACTAGAGGGGGTGTCGTCCTCCTTATCCACTCGTAGCTTCTTCTCTCCCTGCTGCTCTGAAACATCACTTGCATACAGAATAACTGGAAATAGGGTTTAAAAATAACAACTGATTCACACCAATGTACAGTAACATCCATACAGACACAGAATCACCATATTCACCAAAATCTCCACAATCTAGTTATAAAGACATTGAAATTATAATAAAACAACATTCTGAACTCAGGGCGGGTGCACTGCACTCAGCAATATTCTAGCTATATGGTTCGGTCTTGTAAATGATTGAGCCTGGACCAGACAATCCAGTGATCAACATCATGAGCATCGATCTTTGCAATTGGGATACAATGATGTGTGTCAACCAAATCAGAGAGTCTGACCACCCTATACCGTTAGTCGCCTCTTATGACAAGCATTGGTTGCTGAAGACCAAATCTTATCTGGATGTTTGTATTAGGGTTCAGAGTAACAGTGATGTAAGAGTGTAAAACAAGATGCTGAACTGACCTTCCTGCAACTTCCGTTTCTTCAGAAGAGGATCAGCTGCTGGCTGGGCTTTCTGAAGAAGAAATGTATTCAGATATTTGTATGTTGTTGGACTGACTGACTGACTGAGTTTGGTTTTACGCCGCTTTTAGCAATATTCCAGCAACATCACGGCGGGGAACACCAGAAATGGGCTTCACTCATTGTACCCATGTGGGGATTCGAACCCTGGCAGCAGCTTTTAGAGCTAGCCGGCTGGCGAGTCAACACTTTAACCACTAGGCTACCCCACCGTCCCATGACAAGACCATGTGTTAACAACTTAGCTCTCCAACCATCCCTAAAGGCAACGAGGCAGTGGGATAGCAGTGTGTGAAACAGCCACTGGCCCGGTAGCCCGTGGCTAGTAAAAATCCAGTTGGGACAGTAAATCCACAGACACTGGCCTGACTGGCTAGTGAATTTTTATGGGGTCATTTTGTAAATATATCACTCTCTACGACTTGTTAAGTTATTATACACTTGATAATGGCCTGATAAAAATGGTCATCATATTAGCAGCTTTATAAGGAAACCTGTGTCATGTGGACAATATCTTATTATCATTTATTTTTGTAATCTTTTGCTTAGTTTCTACATTCAAATGTCAGGCAAGTGAATTATTATGTGGGCTAGTAACGTTCAGGCAAAACTAGCCTGACTGGCTAACAACATTTGTGATATTTCCCAGTGGTTATAGTGTTAAAAGCGCTTGTCTCGTCGAACATCCTAGTTCCATTCTCCACATGGGTTCAATGCTCGAAACCCATTTCTTGTTTCCCCTTAGTGATATTGCCGGAATATTGCTAAAACCCATGCTAACTCACATATATGAAACAGTGTTTATTGAGTGAGTGAGTATTGCTATATGGCACATTAGCAATTCTGCAGTTATTCACGGCGAGTGACAGCATTAAGTGAAGACTCTGGAATCCCAGCTAGACAAAGTGTTACCACACAGAACCAGTCACTTACCCTGACACGAAGGACCTTGCCCTTCCACACGTGACCTTCAATCCCCGCTAGTGCAGCATCCCGATCTTCAGCATTTCTATGGGGCAATCATAATAATAATATAATGTGTCCATTTATATAGCGCCAAACTCCACACTAGGTATGCTCATAGCGCTGACAATCAAGGCACATCACATTATTACCCCGGATAACCCAAGCTGCCTGTTAGACGCTAGAAGGTTATAGTCATATGACTTTTTTCCACCGGGTACCCATTTTCCTGCTGGGTGAACAGAGACAATTTTGAACAAACTCACTTGCCTAAGGTGAGACCACATGTGTCACATGTGCTTCGTTGTGGGGCAGGACTCAAGTCCTAGAAACTCTCAGGAGTCAAGCTGCCAAACACGGTCACCCATCCAAGGACTCTCCGAGCTCGACGCTGCTTAACTTCACCGATTTGTGACCTGAGCTTTGAGTACAGGACCACGCGCCACCACGCATCTTACATTTACTCACACTCAACTATCACCTTATTCCATGAGTGAGTGAGTCACTGACTGACTGAGTGCAATCTGTCTATTATGGACTGGCTTGGGACCGACTCATTTGTCTGGTTTGTAAAGCAGTCCGGATTAGACAACTTTGGTCCGTTACTGTAGACACTGCCACGATGAGTTATGCTATTTTCACTTACGTTCTTTTAAAAACTCTGACTGTAATGTTATATTAGCTAATACACTATGTTTACTTATTTTGTATTTCTCAGCAAGATCTTTCTATTTTGACCTCTCTGACTCGTCAATATGTGTTTCACTTTGTCAGCAAGTGACAAATCAGTCCGCCTATGTTTCGCTGGTTGGTCTGCGATAATTATAAAGTGAATGTGAAACAAGCAAGTAATCTGTCATTAATAAGACTGCAAACTGACACTGATTTAACTGACATTAATTAATGTGTGTTTATAGAATTAATTAACCATTGTGAACAGAAGTAACTGAGATGTTTATTCAACATTGTTCTCATAGCAAGTTGATTGTCGGGACTGTTATTTTAGTCCATAATCCATAATTGAGAGAGTCTGGATTATAAAGCATGCTTTAATGACAAAACAAGAACAGTTTTGCCGGGACTCAGAGAGTATTCCTGATTATGGAGAAAACTGGATTACACAGAGTACGGATTTGACAGATTCCACTGTATTGTTTAATGCATCATCAGCAATCTTGCAGCTATTCATGATGAATCATTGTCAGGACGGTGGTACTTCACGACAAATAAAAATGGTGTGAGCATGATTTTCTGCCTCTTTTAGCAATATTCCCACAATATCACAGCGGAGGACACCAGAAATGACCTTCACACATTGTGCTCATGTAGGGAATCGAACCCAGACCTTCACCATGATGAGTAAATGCATCAACCGCTAGGCTACCCCTCCACTAAATAAACATCCAATTCATTATATATTACTGAATATCATCATGATCATATTACTGAAAGTTTCTCACTTAAATGTAACAAAGGCAAAGTTGGTTTGTGGCATGGCCTTGATCTTGTGGGGATTCAGCTTGAGTGCTGTGGACAATCTCTTCTTCAGTTGCTGAAAACAACAAACATAGGCAGGGCTGCAGATAACTTTTGGGGTGTGAGTGTACTTACATCATATTGCAAGTGGAGGTGTACTGAGAATTTTGAAGGAGTACTGACATGTTTTTGTGTGTGAGCAAGTTGATGTGGTTTGTCTGGACGATTCTCACTATTTCCAACCATGTGTTTGTATTTGAAGACGCGTGAGAAATAACTGGGCGACTGTGTGATGCGAAATGTCAGGTCCGATTGGATATAAATAGGAACAGTGTCGCTTTTAGCCAATCGAAAAATAGTGGCGCATATTGTTGCGGCAGCGCAAAGGGATTCCTACTATCAGGGTTTCCTTATGTGTCAAATCGTGTTTCTTGAAAAAGAAACTTATCAAGTATTTATCGAAATAGATTTCCATTTACACGATAAGAAACGGAAATTAAATGTTAGACGTCTGAAAGGTATTTATGTGCATACGATAAGCTTTGAAATCTTATATTACGTTAAGTACTTAATTGATTTTGAGGTACATTACAGCCTGTATGCATATATGTGTAGCCCAGCATAGGAATACAGTCACAAGAAACAACCACCACTTCAAACATTTCAGATACATCCTGGAATCGCAGCTCAACGTGCACAGGGAAAGTCCAACAAGAGCTTTTGTGTGAGAGCAGTATTGTAGTGGTATCATTAATGAGATTAATGTCGGAATTTATCTCAGATTTCAAACTATGGTCCTCTGGCAGGCATACTGGGGAAAAAGAGTTGTTTGTTTAAATTCAGATTTTTATTATATAGTTTGTAGTTTCTTGATTTCAGATGCCTTTTCACATTGTCTGTCAACATTATATTTAATAATGTAAAAAGAAATTAAGGCCTCTTCCTCTTTATTTGTTCTCATATCAGAGAAATAGAAGTTAACCTGACCAAGCCAACAAATTGGATATAACTATATTAATTTGATTTGAGAATTTCTTATTTTTTTTAACGACATTTGATGCAATCTGAGACTTAATAAATCAGGACGCAGCATAGGGAAAGTGGCCTCTGTATACACTGTGGCCCCTTCACAGCATCCCAGAACACATGACAAGCATCACCATGTTGCAGGCATGTCAATTCAATAAAATAGATATATTTTTAAAAATTAATAATGGAAGAAAGAAAGAAAATGTATTCATTCAAGACCAGGTATTGGTACTGAAGCTATGATATGGACTAAATACTACACACTCTATAAGACAAATCTAGGCATTATCGGGGCCGATATTCGGCACAAAGTCTGCAGCAAGTGTTGGCAAACTTTCCCAAACTGGAATCAAAGATATTCACTTTGAGATTATCTTCATTACTACCCTGATATTATTTAACAGATTTGCATACAAGGCACTTTTCACTTGGTTTAACCACATTGACATAATTGTTCTAAATACTAAATGTATGTTAGAATACCTGAAAAATTACATGTTAAATGTGAATATACAACATAATTCTTGAATTTTGGAAAACAATTTTCATCCCCCATGCTGCAACCATGGACAATTTAATAGTTTACAGTCCTAGAACCAATCAATGCTATATTCACATTCTTGCAAAACAAAGAAAATATTGTAACATTAGGAAAACTGTCATTATCTGTTGTGCTGTTGAAAAGAAATTAAAAGTTGCCTGTCACTGTCAAATTTTTAAAAACTTGTCTTAATGGTCATTTTAGTGTATTGATTGACTGAACAATTAATGAACACTTGTCATGTCATCCTGTAGAGTGAGTGAGTATGGTTTTACACCCGCTTCTAGCAATATTTCAGCAATATCAAGGCGAGGGACCCCAGAAACGGGCTTCACACATTATACCCATGTGGGGAATCGGGTGTACTGAACTTTGCCTATAGGAACTTTGCCCACAAGGAACTTTCCCCACAGGAACTTTGCCCACAACAATTTTTACAGGGGAGGAACTTGCCCACAATGATATTTACATAATACAAGATGATATAAATGATATATTATTTTTTTAAACTACAGCCCAATACAGCACATTAATAACTAAAAAATGAATAGCACTTCATTGTTCATTCTAATACATTCTAATAATACAAGATGTTATAAATAATGTTAAATAATATAATACGAAGTGTGTGATTAGTAAGGTAAGTTTTTATTCTACTTAGAAAAGGAAATACTAACAAACAGAGAAGCCTTGGTGAAATGCAATTAATGTTTCATCTCTTTTCGGGAGGTGGTTGAGTATTAAAATTTATATTGTGGGCAAAGTTCCTCCCCTGTAAAATTTGTTGTGGGCAAAGTTCCTGTGGGGAAACTTCCTTGTGGGCAAAGTTCCTGTGGGCAAAGTTCCTGGATTCGGGGAATCAAACCCAGGCCTTCGGCATGATGAGCCAACGCTTTAACCACTGGACTACCCCGCCGCCCTCATCCCCTAGAAATAATTATAGTTATAATCATCCTTTTGCACTTACAGCAAATCCATAATTCCTTGGCAGATTTTCAATTTCGACTTTGTAGATCTCTGACGTAAACTCCTTCCTCTGCGTGTAGCTGTAAGGATTTGTAGTCTCCATGGGAACAGTTTGTCCATCTTCAGATAAGTTTGAAGAATTGTCACCTGTTTGATGCATATCTAGTTTATCCTCCATCACGTCCCCTGCATCAGTGTTCTCAATGACACACATGGGATCAGGGGCATCTGAAGGAGCCTGTTTTATCTCAGTGCACTGAGTCTCCATGTTATGATGCTTCACTGTGCTTCAAAACTGCAATTCCAATACCGATTGAAATTTGATCTGTCTTGTTAATCAGGTATGACGTTTCAGCAAATTCACATGAAAATCTCCAAATCTGAAGCAGATTTTAAAAGCAGATGAAAATTTTAGTTTCAGCAATCGTAACGTCATCTGAAGGAAAAAATAGTCATGACATCACAAAGATATCCATCTCTTGATGCTAATTTTAAGAGGCATTATTTGATAGTTTAACATCTAAATTAAGCCATAACATCCTAGTTAACTAAAGCTAAAAGTAAGAATGTGTTATGGTTAACAGCTTAACTGTTTCGATTTGCATGTTGTTTTGAGAATATAAGCTTCCCATGCTTTTACCGAGAATCTACTGAAGAAGAATTTCTGCAGGAATGTTTCCAGGGGTGGAAATAACTTTAAAATTGATAGTGTACTGCAGTACAGTGGCACATGTAAAGTCACTTGCCCTGATAATTTGTCCACTATACCGACCGTTTTCTTGCTAATTTTTAAATAAACAACATAATTAACGTTGGAAAGTCAACTTGACACCGGTACAGTGTCATAAACAAAATTGCTTGCCAGACAGAAAAAACCACTGGACTCGGGCGTCGGGCAATGGGTCATTTCCACCCCTGGTTTCCCCAGAAAACTACATGATTCATACATGATTCATACATGACATATGCCACAAACAGTTCACTTAAAAATAATAAAAGCAATAAAAGCAAAATGCTCCTCTCAAATCAATATATATATGTGAATGAAATTCCAACAATAAAAGTCTTTTGTGATCTCTCGTGGGATATCGTTTGGACACTGACTGTTAAAATGTCAACTGAAATGAAAGTGATAACAGCTTTATAAGGCCAGTGAAAAATGCATTTATTGCACAATCTGATGCTAAATTTACCATTATTAGTGCATTAAAAAATATGAGTTTGCTATTGTGCACACTATTTGCAGCTGGGATTGTCTGCTTGCTGAGATTTTTGAAAGGACAACAGGTTATCCTGTCATACCCTGTATTATCATGATTATGTTTTTGGACGTTTAGAACAGATCCACTGTTCTGGCGAATTAAATGAACAACTGTAATTCATGTCACTAACTTATAAAAGTCAAATTATGTTAAACACGGGCCACCATCTGAATATTTACAATGTCTGTGTGTGATGCAACATTATGTTGAACATGTATACCTCGTTATAGCGCGAATACACGTGCGAAAACATGTAATTTGACGATACATTAGATTCAACATAGAACCTGGAGTACAAAACTTAAATCAAACCTAATTAATATAAAGCCTTAAAGTCCCATTTTTTTTCAGACCAATCGCCGTAAAGTTAGTTTCATGCAATGAAGTATATGCATGTTGTTTTACGCCCCATGAGAACCAATATCATCGTAGCCCGGAAAACTGTGTTATACAGTATAAGGAAAACTGACAGCAAAGATCGAGGCTGTCCTCGATGCTGTCGGGATGAAATGGTACTAGAGTCGTCAGGTTGAAAAGCAAATCTGTTTGAAATACTCCCATTAACAAGGAAAGGTAACAGATCTCACCCCATGCTACATAGGGGCAGCCATTTTGTATCATTATTTCTAAGAACATGGTAAAATATATCATTTTCAGTAATAATAATTGATGTCCCTTATATGTCTGTGAAATTAAACATAATGGTGTGTTAAATATTGAAAACCAAAAAATATTAAATCTAATAGAACGTACAAATACAAAAATCATAACTTATAAAACCGGAAGAATATTAGGAATAAGGTAACAGCCTCGATCTGAATTCAGCGGGAAGTCGGCTATATTTGCTGGATTGATTTGACAGTAGGGATCAAGAGAGAAATCCAAGTCAATCAGTCGCTCTACGTTCAATTATGGCAGATGAAAAGGTATTTGTTGTGTTTAAGTTGCTTTGAATTTTATTTAACAACGTTAATTTTCAGATGATGGATTACGGGGTAATAGCAAGTACAAATAAACAAGCTTGTTTGACAGCTCCCCTCACCTGTGAGTGCTGACCGCTTTTACATATCACAGATAACATTTAGATTTTGTCGCGGCAGGTAATAATTACCTGAAATGTTAATTGGAGCATTAATTGCTATAACCTGAACTTCGTTGTGCAAAGTTCTTATGTCAAGGGGTTTGATCTTTTGTGTACCTGATGTATATTCATTTAAAGTGCGAACTAGTAGAAATCATTATTTTTCTTTAAAAAGATACAGATTTTAATTCAGCTGCGATTTTGAATGCTATGTGAAGCCATCATTTATTATCATTTGTTAATATTTGAGGAGATAATATGTTAGGTGCCAATTATGTGGGCACTGACAAAACATTTTTTAGGTTATTGAGCTTGTAATGCATTGACAACATACAGCATGAGATTCACATGCTCGCTTACTTGGTTGATCATATGTATTAACTGGTTCAGAAATAAAAATATACTAACCATTCAGGAAGAATATTGCTGAATGCATACAACAAACAAAAAATTCAAAATTCAAGTCAGTGAGGCAAATTCCATTGATGAGGAGCCCTCTCAACAAAGCGTTTATAGCAATACCAGATTCATAGGCCTTCATATTGACACAGCTGACCTATACTCACAACAGACCATAAGATTCATAAATGGATGTAAGATTGGAAGTGATGCTCAAACTCAAGCATCGTGAAGGTTGTTGGATTAGGGAGATGGGGCTAACCCTTATAACTGGAATGGGATGCTTGATGGCAAAGTGAATCCAAAGGCTGGGTAAGACTTCTGCCTGTATCCCCCCTACATTTTTAACAAAGAGGAAAACCTTTGACTGGCATTTTTAGAAGTTGTATATGTTTTCAGTATGTTCAGATACAGTTAAAGAAACATGTTAAAACTCCTTATCAGAAGAATATGTACATATTCAGGTAATATGATTTGATGTGAATGAAATTTAAGGGGGGATACGGGCAGAAGTCTTTCCTTCATAAACATTCCAGACTTTGATGTGGACTTTCATCAGTAAAATTATTAGTGCTGGAATCGTTCTTGCTTGCTTCAATGATTATTGATGGGCTCGGGAGGAAGTATCCTCAAACCTCTTGATCATAGTGTTAACCGTTCCTGTTTCGTTTTTGTTTATGATTGTCCTGTTAACAATGCCAACATGAGTTATCTCCCATAATCTGGTGGGGTATATGATTGCAATTGATTATTGTTCGATTACTGAGCTCTGATTATCGATCTGCTTATTGTTAGAAAACCAACATTAGAAGTCATCAGAGTCCACACCACTTGATGCTCAAGACGTTAGTTCACTTTCCTCAGCTATTATGTCGCTATTGCATAATGATTGTTTGACTAAATTGGACATGTTTTTCAGGATGATGCTCCAGAGTCTCCAGAACTTCATTTTGAACCTGTTGTGACCTTGAATCCTGTGGAAATAAAGACGTTAGAAGAGGAAGAGGAAGAAATATTGAAACTGTAAGGGTAGATGAATGTGCAGGGCTCATCTGTTGTTTTGTTTGAGAATTAACATTGACAGCTAACATGTTTACACGCTTCTTGTTCTTTACTACTTGGAACTTCAGTACAAGTCAAGCATTAATTGTAAATTCAATCTTCATTTTTCTGGGAGCCCTTGTTTTAAACCTGAGACCCCTTTAATAAAGGCTTTGTTTCCCAAGGGTCATCAAAATATGTACCCCAGGTAATCCAATGACTGTTTACTTTCAAACTGGACTGGTCTTAAATGTTATGCAAACTTGAGAGCTTAATGTTAAAGTTATCCTTCTAATTTTACAGGCGAGCAAAACTTTTCCGCTTTGACAACACATCAGAGCCTGCCGAATGGAAGGAGCGAGGTACAGGAGAGGTGAAAATTCTGAAACACAAAGCCACACATTTGATACGAGTACTGATGAGGAGAGATAAAACACTGAAGATATGTGCAAATCATTATAGTGAGTGAAATTATACCTTGTTGCTGTTGTATTGTGTGTACCAGGTGTCCTGTGTTGGATGAGTCTTCACAAAGGAAAGAAACAAAATTAAACTCTACAGAGCTCCAGATAAGATTTAGCTCATGTGGGTACTCTACCCACTGTATTTTTTTGGAGTGGGTATTATGAATGTTGAGTGGGTATTTCATTTTCCGTTACCCACAGCTTTGAAATATGTGCGTATTTCAGTCATTTTACTTACCTAATTATTATGTCATTGAGTAAGTTGACTAAGCAGGTATGTTCTGCCTTATGTCATACCTAATCAAAACCAACTTAGATATAATGGAAATGATTTCATAAAAAATCACTGATCCTATACTGACAGTACAACACTAGTCCTATGCTAACAGTACAACTTGATAGCAATCGATGTCTGTTTCATTACGCATGCGATTTTTATAAATATATTCCGTACGCATTTGTTTTAAACTTTTGTTTTAAACTTTTTATGATCTAACATTTTAAATGCGTAATTTAGTACTTTTAATTCATTACATGCATTAGTGCTACGCAACAATTATTTTTACAATGCGTAATTGGAAATTTTCTATGCATATTTTACCTGGATACGCAGCTTATCTGGGCCTCTGACTGTATAATATAGTTAGTTATAAGCATTTTGATAACAGATTGTATATCTTAAGAAGGATTAGTACTTTTAATTCATTACATGCACTCTGCAGTCTAATGACAGGGATTGAAATAGTGCTTAATTTGCATGCAAATATTTGGCACAGATGAAATTATAAAAATAATACCATGATTCATTTAATTGAAAATGTAATAAGTTTGACCAACTCAAATGATTCAAAACCTATTTTTGCACCCCATCATGCTATTCATCATTAGCACTCTCAAATTCACAGCTTGACATGGGCATGGATATTTTGAATGCCAGTGTGCATAACAGGAAATCCCATTTTGGATGATAACAGTTAGTGGGTTTGTTTACAGTCCACGGCAAATGACACTGAACTGTTCTTAGTCATGATAGTGGTCAGGAAATCCAGCTTTGAAATTACATGTTTACTGATTCATTAAACAATAACTTTAATTGACATAAGTATGTTTTAAGTTAAATTGGATCATGAAAAGGTATGGGCACGCTTATTATCTGTCAGGTGCCCAAAGGCACCCTTTGAAACAAATATCATTTCTGTCCCTAAATGATATGCTAGTATTGTGAGAAATTTAGCAGTTTGTTGCTTTTATAGCACTGCCTATGTTTCCAGACTGTTACTCTACACATCTACCCAATTTTACAAACCCATTCTATTTAGTGAGAGGTGGCATCCTTGCATGCCTACTGATCATTGTTTTGCTTCCATATCAATTAAATACACAGGCTTGTACTCGACATACTCTTCTAATATAAATAAAGTCTTGTGACAGGGTGTAAGAGAGGTTTTAACTTGACAGGGAAATGTATTTGGAATCCACTTCTTAACTCATTCAACACCGTAGGCCGGTAAACTGGCCAGGCAGTAGTCGCATCAAAATTATGTAATTTTAGAAACCTAACTAACATATGATTCTTTTATCAAATCTATCACTTTTCACAATGTCTGGAAACACTTATTAAATTTCAAATGACCATATATTATCGACAGGATTAGAATTATAAACTATTTTTCGCAATGTTATTGAAAAAAGTCTCGGACACATGCTTCGGCAGCGGGTCCACAATAACATTGTCAAAGAGCAAAGTAACGATGTTTCGAGGAAATCATTAAATAAATTGAATAAACTAATGAATAAAATCAACAACAGCATTCATAAAAGTTGTCAAACGTACATATAAAATTACTATTTCCATCTCTTTGTGCGATCATGTAATGTAAGTCATCTCGGCTCTCGCCGCCTCAATCTTCACGCTTCGGACACGATGTTTAATGCGAAAATATATGCATGAAGCATTTTTGCCACGGGTCATAACCTAGCACGATACGTCCAATAAGTTCCATAATTTCCGTATAGGTAGTGATTTCTTGCTTAATGTGTTCAAAATAGCATTATTTTACCCAAAACTTTCGTCTAAATCTAAAACGATGTTATATGTTATTCATACGAAGCTTCGAAAACGGAGGTATTTTCCGTTGTCATTTTACCGAGCGAAAAGCCACTGATATCGGGAAATAGGCGACCATATATATTATTTAAGAAATCTTTTTATATTAATTTTGTGATCACATAAAAATGAAAATTTAAACGAAAAAGGCACGGGCATGTTATGACATGTCACAAATGGGAAAAAAATCGCCATAGTTTTTGCTTCTTTCATGGTTCATCTGGACATCATAAATGTAAGCTTGCATTTTCATTACAAAAATAAATTTATTTAAGTTGTAGTTGTATTATTTGAATAACATTATAAAATAAACTTCATATTTATCAACAGTGGGATTAGATCTTCTAAATGGTGTATGAGATGTAGTAGCAATAACGTTTTACAAGCTTATAATTTCCTTCATAAACATAGGCTTCATCTATGACCTTAGAGTCTCTGGGAACTCGGTGTCATGGCAGTAAATGCCTCTGGTTGACTGGTGTTGAAAGAGTTAATAGTGATAATTGAGGTAGAATAATTATAGATTGGTCAGAAAGTCCAAACTACCAGGCAGCTGGACATTTTCCCCACATGTAATGTAGATGACAACCAATCTCTCATTATAATCTTTCATATATTGTGATTGATACTACTTAGAGCTATAGCGAGGATTGAGTGATAAGAGCTGTGACGATATCATAGTATCGCTAATCGTGATGCTTTTTTTCATATCGTGATAAGTATCGTTGGCCTAAAAACTTTGAATTTTCACTAGAAATTGACAGTTATCAGATGCCAACCCATACGATTTTATCATATTCGTTATGAAAAAACAACAGGAAATACGTGACTACGATAGCAGTAAAAATATACGAATTTTGAAAAAACCATTAATTATGAAGTAGCATACGTACCATACACAATAAATTTCGACCACATATTCAGTATCAAACTATATGTAGATCTATGTGTTAATTACAAGAATACCTATATATTTCTTTATTGAATCTGAAAATTCTTTGGCAAATTAATGCTAATTTTGGCCCCAAAAATACTAATTATTGCATCAGTTTTGGCCAAAATACTGAGCTAAATTAGGGTTAGCATATCGTGAGATGTATCGAATCGTATGGTTCCAAGATATCGCAATACGTATCGTATCGTGAAATTTCTGTATCGTCACCTCTATTGAGGGAGGTCAGTGAATATATTGAAAAATGTAGTGCTGAACTAAGTGTGTTGGGAGTGATATAGTTTTACTGAACTTAACATTGAAAAACAGCAAAATAATGCTTGCCAAGTAGCTTTGATGTGCTATCATATGGAATGATCCAGTCCTAAATCAAGGGCTTACAACTGATTCCTCACAACTATTTAATGCTTTGTTTCAGTATCACCTCTCATGGAACTGAAACCAAACTGTGGCAGTGATCGGGCGTGGGTGTGGTCAACACCAGCAGATTTCGCAGATGAGGAGTCCAAACCCGAATTGCTAGCAATAAGATTTGCAAATGCTGAAAGTAAGTGCCTGAAACAACGGAAACGTACACAACACTTATTCTATACACTGTTTATACCAGATCACTCTCACTCACTCTTTTAGCTGCACAGTAGTTGGAAAAGCTGTATGTTTTCAATCTCAATTCTCATCAAATATCCTTTAAAGAAAATTTACATTGATTAGAAAGGCTTTCCTGCTTGAATGGTTTGATTTTTATGAAAAGTTATATTGCAAGACCCTAAGCGTAGCACAATCCAATTTACAGGGCTCCAGATAATTTTTCAACATCAGGAGTACGTACTCCTTATTTTTTCAATATGGGAGTACTGGAAAATAATTATAGTACTGAATGGAATGTAATGGAGTATCAGTAATCTTGTGTTTTGTGTCGTATATGCACCACAACATTGCTAGTCTTGTGTAAACAGGTCAATAAACAATAAAACAATACTCTTTCAGATAAATACGTCTGTAAATGATTCTAGGACCATTGTCATGCTGCGTATCTGCTACGTTTTCCAAATTATTTCCTACCGTATCGTGCATATTTCTTATCCGTACATACTCCGATACGGCCCTTATATGGAGCCCTGAATTTATGTTCCATTTCAAGTCAGAATATGTATCAAACTAAATGGATAGAAACATGTCTATAGGCTGATTTACATTGTATAAAGTGAGAAAGAAATACAAACCATGATGGTTCAACTAACTTTGTACAACATAAATCCAGAAAAAATGTCGGGTCACCCTTTTCTTTAATGGGCCTGTTTTGATATTTTGATGGCTCATGGGGCCCTAGTGAATCATATCCCAAAATGAACACATTGTCTGCAGGATGTAATAGTTCTTTTGTTTCAAATGATTGTTTTGTTAACTTTGCAGATGCTCAGAAGTTCAAGGAGAAATTTGAAGAATCACAGAAGTCAGTGGAGGAAACAGTTAAAAAAAGCACAAAGTAAGAATAAGCTGGATTTGCACTTGTTCCTGTGGTATTTTACACGATTCTTACTAAAACTGGAAGCAAGTTTAATTGTTATAACTGGACGGAAGCATTGGTATTTTTTTAATTTAAATGTGGGTAGGCAACTGTTACAAAGAAAGTTAATTTGATGCTGTTACAAGGTTTGAGGTGGTTTCAATCAGTGTTCGAGATTATCGTCAGTCCTTAGGCCCGAAGCCGGCAGAAAACCACTCGGACCAACAGCAGGCCCTTGTGGCCGACAGCTTTTTCATCCTCAAGAACTAAGAGTATTATTTTTTTCAGAAAATATCCTTTAGTAACTTTTAGTTTTTATCTCGATCAGCAGCTGTTGTCTGTAAGTGAAACAGAGGAAGCAATTTAGGTTACTGGGATGTGATCTTTTAACCTCGAACAAGTTATCTGAATGCATTGCGTACTTCATACACTTGTATTGTAGCTGAAATATAGGGCCTTCACATTCTGATCAGGACCCACAACTTTTTATGGTTCTGGGTCCTTAGTGCCTGCAGCTTTTCGGGTTTTTTGGCAAACTCTGGTTTCAATCATTGTGACCAAGCTGGCTTGCTTTAATTGTGCTGAAAGGCATTGATCTGGTTCAGACCCTATTCTTGGCTGGATAATGTTAGAGATATTATTTTAGGTTGAAATCACTCTACACATTTACATCATGCAGGAGCAGTTAAAATGTAGATTTGCTATGGAATTGTCCAGCCCACCCTGGGTGCCTGGTGAGAGGCGACTAACAGGAAAAAGTGGTCAGTCATGCCCATGCTGGTTCTTGCATTCCATATGTATTGCTTGAGTTGATGGTCACGATGTCAATGGCTAGAGTGTCTGGTCCAAACTCAATTATTTACTGGCCGCAGCCATGCCTTGCAGATCTCAGAATGGTTATCTTGTGTGTTTTTTGCAGATGGCGTTTCAGAACAGAAGTCAACAGAAGATTCACAGGAGAAATCGAAGGAAAAATCCAAGGACAGTGAAGCTGAGACATTGACAGAAAAACTTGGTGATATGTCAGTGAAAGAGGAGGCAGCATCAGATGTCTCAAACAAAAGTGAAACGAAGACTGATTGATAAGGACAGTGATTTTAGAGAGGAGATTTTTATCATGTGGTTGAAACCACAGCAAACTCTGGTCAAGACAATTCCATTACAGGAGCTGGAACTGACTGATCAGTTTCTGCAGTGGAACAAAGGGTATTTTAATCCAACATTTTAGTGACCCTCGAAGCCACCTTGGTGCAGCCCAGTGATCCAGATAGGATGGACAGTTCTGAAAGCATTACTCGTGAAAACATTCACATCATATTTTTTTGTAAAATTCATGTCATTTAAATCGTGTATTGGCTGGATGGTCGAAGGTGTTCAGTGCTGTTTATTGTAAATATTCCCTGCTTTTAAAGATCCCATGCACATTCACAAGTGATAATTTATTACACATCTGAATAAAACTTGAAATATTTGTGTTTTAGTTACTTGTGCACATGGAAAGTATTGGTGATTCATTGTTGGATTTCCGTCAAATGTTGTGTCCGCAAAGGAAGAAAATGGTCAATTTTTGGAGGAAAACCTGACTTCAAAATATTAAATGGAATTTTACAGAATTTTGTAATGGAATAAATAATGCATCATGCTGAAAGGTATTGTCTTTGCTGTGTAGTTGATAGTCCCGTGCATGTGACAGAATGCTGTGTAGAAGGTAGATCATGATGAATAGGAGCGTGTCAGTCGTGTCCTGTCACCTTCTGATGGTGTTGACTCATAGTTAACACCTGTTGTTGGCATTATCCTTGTGATGAACTGTTGCCATGGTTACAGGCAGTGGCACTTTTCTTTGACAGATTGTTTTATCAGCAGCCATGCTGTGTGGTTACCATGACGATAGGTATTATGCGTGATCAGCAGTTTAACCCTAGCAAATTATTCTAGTCGTTAGAAGACTGTTAATTGCATGTGTCAGGGGATTGAATCGTTGCTATGTCAATCCCTGGATAGTCTGTTCCTGAGTATTATAAGGTGACTGCTTTTGTTTGTTTGATGCAGCACTCCCCGTAATATTTCTGCTATATAACGGCAGTCTAATAAATAATCAACTCTGGACCAGACAGTCCAGTAATTGACATGTCATCTGCCGCTAAGACAAATCCGTGAAGATCCAGGTTAGAAGTGGCCTTCAGCAATCTATATTTGTCCTTAGAGGCGACTAACAGGATCGGGTGGTCAGACTCACCAACTTGGTTGACATTCCTTCAGATGTCAACTGCATAGAAAGATGCTCATGATGTTGATCACTGGATTGTCTGGTCCTGACTCAATTACTTACCCCTGGAATATTGCTGAGTGCGGCGTTCACACAAAGTCTAACCCAGAACTTCATGGGTTCGTAGATCACTTATAAAGTTTGGGCACTACAGATGAGTTGAACACCACACATTTGATAGGTACATCTTTTCTTTCGTTTCGGCAATTTGTTGACTTGTATTCAACTGTTAAAACGAAAAGTGGTCATGACAAGATAAGCAAGCAACCATCAACAAAGATAGCTGCTTCAGTATTTTTCACAAACACAACGTTAGTTGGTTTGTTGTGTAACACAGGCCCCGGGCAATATGCCAGCTATATGGCGGTGGTGTGTAAATAATCAAGTCTGGACCAGACAATCCAGTGATCAACATGAGCATCATTCTACGCAATTGAGATACGTTGCAGAGATGCCAATCCTATTTTGGGCCTAAGTGTAATTTGGATCTCAAAAGTGTAATACTTGAAACACTTACTTAGTGAAAGGTGACAACTTTAAAAAAATTACTTTTAAAAAGGTTTATTCACATGAATAGGAAAGATTCTAGACTGAAATACACGTGACCAATCACTATCAAGTTCCATACATAGAAAATTGTTGGTCAGGTGACACAAAGTACTTAAATTCCTTATACAAGTTAATTGGAATGAGCGTGATGCTAAGAGTAAGCGATTCCTATCGGTATAAGGCTGTTTCTGAACCCCTGCACCAGTGCGTTACGAAACAAATTCCCTGTGAAATTTTATCCACTTTATTGCTTTTCGGAAAACGAGTAGAAAAGTATAATTTTTGCAGATTAAGTGTAATGGCGTAATTTAATGGTCAAAATGTTAATCGTAATAAGCATAAGGGTTGGCATGTCTGTACGATGACATGTACCAACCATGTCCACGAGCCTGACCACACGATCCCGTAAGACGCCTCTTATGACAAGCATGGGTTGCTGAAGACCAATTCTAACTTGGATCTTAAAATCAGACATTTCATTTTTAAACATTTCTGTGTTTTGTAAAAAGATTTTATGTCCAAATAAATATCCCCAACGTTTTCTTATCGAATACCAGTGTTGTTGGTATAAAAAGCCAGTGAAAGCAAGTTTGACGCTTGTCATTGGTGGGAGATGTTCTTGCTGCTACTACAGTGTGCTGTTTAGTTAGGAATCATAATATTACATGAATACAAAAAATATGTTAATTCTGATATGAAATATTGCACAATAATGATGTTATTAGTTTAGTGTATGTTATATTTGGGATTGCCCTTTCTCAGTGAAGTACAGATTCTAGTAATTTGTGTTAGGTTAAGTCCCAGCCGGAATTCAAACCCACACTCTCAGAGTCAGGCACCTAATCGCTTGTCAGCAATCTAACCCACTCAGCCGATAGCATGAAGCTGAGAATAATGGTTCCCGCGTGACGTTTGACAGACTATAGTCTGTTTCAGCAGCTGGGACATATATCTTCTCTGGCTTCACTGGACCGCCTACGTGGTGTAGTGGTTAGAGCGTCCGCCCGGAGAGCGGAAGGTCGCTGGTTCGATCCCCGACCGCGTCACACCAAAAGACGTTAAAATAGGTACTTGTTGGTCCCTGCCTGGCTCTCGGCATTAATGGGTACAACAAGGACTGGTCGGCTCGGAATCACTATAATGTGTCTGAGTGGGGTATTCATGCTTCACTGTGCCATGGTATCTCAGTGGGCTAGCACTATAAAACCAGCTTAAGTCTGGGCTAGTACAAGCAGCAGCACATACACATACTCACACATGCATGTCGTCATATGAGCGAAATATTCTCAAGCACGACGTTCAACCCAATTTCACCTCACCTCACCTCACCTCTGGCTTCACTGTCACACATAAAGTACCACACATGGTTTTTGGCGTTTATTTCGTAGTTTTGAACACAACTAAAGTTTGATTGTTAAATATTCTATGACTATTTATTTCCCAACTTATGTTTTATCACTTTCTTTGTAAAATCATCCAAAACAGATGAGATTACAGTCATTTTTACCCCTTGAAATTTCATCGAAGTCAAAATGTACGTTTCTGATGAAAGCAAATGAGATGTACTCTCCATAGGTTCGCGTACATAATATATTTGATAAAAAAACATCATATACCATTCATCCTTTATTTCTTTTATCTTAATTGATTCAGGGATTTTCTCAGTACATATTTCATGCTTGTACTCTTGTTGAAAGTTCATTTATAGCTTTGTCAATTGCACAACGCTATGGGAACACACATGCAAATACATCTTCCAGTCTAAACAGTGCTGCAGGTAGTTGTTGCCACCCATTGTGACGTAAGTTATAACATGTTTCTAAACTAGTTGATAATATGAAAAGTTTTGTTATTTGTACCTGTTAAATGGTATTTTAGATGATGATTAGAGGGCCAAATTAAAAGGCCTAGTTGGGAAAAACATTTATTTTAATATTTGTTAAAATTACCTATTTAAAAAAAAAAAAATTGAATAAAAATATTGAAAAAAATATATTACCTATCTTAATGAAGTAATAAGCAAGTAGGTGCCAATACACATTTTATTTTTATTTCCGTGAGTACTTTAGCTACAAATACACCCTAATGTATTAGAAGTACTGGTAAGAACTGTGTCAAACAAAACTCGATGTGCTTGATTATAGGACAACGGGGATGGTGCTACAGAATGACTTACATTTGAGTCTGCAAGTCTGCATAAAAAATTGGAGAATGTTTATTATCCAGCAGGAACATGTTACGAAGTTGACTTTGTCAGGGTTAAGTGAGTGAGTGAGTTCAGTTTTACGCCGCACTCAGCAATATAACAGCAGTCTGTAAATAATCGAGTCTGGACCAGACAATCCTGTGATCAACAGCATGAGCATCGATCTATGCAATTGGGAACCAATGGCACGTGTCAACCAAGTCAGCGAGCCTGACCACCCGATTCCGTTAGTCGCCTCTTACGACAAGCATGGTTTACTGAAGATCAATTCTAACCTGGACCTTCATGGGTTCACGGTTAAGTCCATGGGTATGTCCAGGTCAGTCTCCAGCTACCTATGGTGGTGTTTGGAAGCGACCAAATTGATTGTGCAGTCTTGGCAAGTTGGCAAGTTGACTTCAGTTGATTGTGTGTCGTACCCCAACAGCATGGATCATTGCTTTCAAAGTCACAGTATTGCCTGGTTCTGACTATAGATCATGTACTGGTTGGTGTCAGGTAGCCAGAATATTACCTAGTGTGATGTTAGAACAAGTTAGGTTTGAGACAAAAATATATATTGTTTAGTCTTTGGCATTGGGACCGCCTCCGTGGTGTAGTGGTTAGAACGTCCGCCCGAAGTGCGGAAGGTCGCAGGTTTCGATCCCCGACCACGTCATACCAAAAGACGGTAAAATATGGTACTTGTTGGTCCCTGCCTGGTGCTGGGCATTAATGGGTACAACAAGGACTGGTCGGCTCAGAGTCAGTATAATGTGTCTGAGTAGGGTATTCATGCTTCACTGCGGCATGGTATCTCAGTGGGCTAGCACTACAAAACCAGCTTAAGTCTGGGCTAGTACAAGCAGCCGCACATACCCATACACACGCATGCACGTCGTCATATGAGCGAACTATTCTCAAGCACGACGTAAAACCCAATTTCACCTCACCTCACCTTTGGCATTGGACTTGTGAATGGCCTTTAGGAGTTATTAAATTAAAAAATATACTACAGGGATTTTATGGATACAGGACTTTGAAGTTTCCAATCCAAGCCCACAGAATGAATTACTGCCACTGAAAGCAAGCACTTGTCTGGTCCTGGCTCTTTTTACGCCATATAGCTTGAATACTGAGAAGTGTGGCCTTGAACAAACAATGGTTATTCATGGTTAGATTCTGCTTGCATCAGAAGTGCACTGCCCTTTACACTACTGTAAAATAAGAAAGTAATATGCTAGACAATCTAGTGATCAACAATATGAGCATCAATCTAGGCAAATGGTAAACGATGTGTCAACCTGACCACCCGATCCTATTCGTCACCACTTAAACAAGCATGGGTTGCTGAAGATCATTTCTAAACCAGATCTAACCATGCTTGAAACTGATGATGCCTCAGCAAAATAGAGGATGGGTGATCATGTAACTGTAGCCCATTGGTGTAGCATTCCGTCCAGTGAGTTTTAGGACCAAGACTACGACTCTGATCATTGGTTTATTAGTTCTATGTCTACGCTTGTAAGATTTACCCAGGTAATCCCTGCACTTTTTAAATGAACTCACCACTACAAACAGGCATGCTGATAACGCAAGGCCAAACTCTATCGCTTTGACCAAAAATTCAGGTGGGTATGAGGAGAAAATACGAAAAATCCAATTTTATTATTTCACAGCAGGGGACACCAGAAATGGGCTTCACACATTGTACCCATGTGGGGAATCAAATCCAGGTCTTCAGCGTGACAAGCGAACGCTTTAACCACTAGGCTACCCCACCGCTCCTCATCCAAAGTGTTAAATACTGGCTACATTTGTTTCTGGCCTAACCCAAATACAGCTCACTGCCATGTTACTCCCATCATATTGCTGATATTTGGCTGCAGTCATGAAGTATTTACTGAGAAACGTAAATGCCACAGACACTGAATATCTACATAAGATCAGTTTATTCTACATTATGTACAACATTCAATTATTTTCTGTACAAGTTTCATCTGGCCATGGCTGGTTAACAAGGCAAACCGGTGTATTGTGGGTAATGATGACGGTGTGGTCTTCTCATTCTCTTCAAGAGTTGTTGAGTAACGCTGCAAACAGGCACTTGCACAACTGAAATAAGACACAGAATTGTTTTTAAAGCTTCAACACTGGCAAGACAAGCTCTAAACAACACTGTACAGGGTTAAAGCCTTTAACTGAAATAAGACTGACTTTGAGCCACAGGAAATTAATCTTTTGACTAAGTCCTATTGACACCATATCACAAAGAAATTTCATTTCTATTTTGAAATACAGACTATAGCTCATAGTAGTGTGCGCTGAGACATCCCTGTTCATACATCCTGATCCAGAAACTGTTGAACTACAATACATAAATATAGAGAAATAAACCACATACCTCGATAAAATGGTCTTCCAGCTTTCTGGAAGGGTTTTCATCTTTTCTGTAAGTAAACAGAGAAATGTTTCACAGAAATCTTTACCGCCCATCTTGATTAGATGTACTGATTGCTCACTCTCCTACCCAGAGTTCCATGCGGCAAGCCAGCATAGTATCTCTGCCACAGGCCAGAAAAATGTGACGATTCGTCACATCTTGCACCGTCCATTCAATATAATTTACATATTTCTCAACTCTTTTATTTTTGACGAGTCTACACAACTAATTAAACATCTTTGATAGAATGGTTTAGTTTCATTGAGAAAATATCCTAAAACATGTAACACTAATTCGATTTGCGTAGCGATCCTTTGTTTACATAGGTTGTACGGCTCCACGTGCTGTCATCGAAGCTGATGGAGAGCAAACGATGCAGCCAGTTTGATATCTAAATATGTACTGTCATAGACATTACTGTCGCAGTTGTGGAAGAATATTTATGTAACAATGTAAAACATTATGAAGAGAGCGCCGAAAAGCTTTCGTGAGTCCAGTCTCTTCTTATTATGAATATGCGCGTTTGATTACAAACAAGAGAAAAGTCTGGTCACGTGATATGCAAATTAGCCTGTGGCAGTGATGTTATGTTAAATCATCGCTGTGCCGGAGTGTGCTGATTGCTGATATCTGACTCATGAAACAGGCCGTTTGATTGGCTCTTGTAGACAAGCTCCTAACCCATCAGTCAGATAACTGACAGTGATGTCAGGAGTTTCACTGTACTGAGTGTAAGCATACTGAGAACATATGTTGTATTAAATCAAGATCCCTGACATTATATTCATTCTTCAGGATAAGCAATCAAAACAGTAAGAGATAACTGTTCACATAGCATCATTGTTTAACCATCAAGAAAACGTTATTTGTTTCCACAGACCCCAGAATTACTTTTTAATGACAAGAACGAACACTGTCTACAAAATGGCTCAAATATACATACCAAATGAAAGAGATTCATCATCCTCGTCATCACTGTCATCATCACTCCATCCATCTTTCTCCTGGTATTCCTTGAACGTTGGCTCCGTCATTGACAACACCTTCAACACAACAAAGTGACACGCATCAATATTCTTTCCCATCTAGCACATTTCCAGGGTCCCAATCCATAAAGCGTGTGTAGACTTACAACCTGTTGCAACTCTATAGTTTATCGTAGGTTTAGGAATGTTGTAGCACTGAACATTTTGTGGACTGGGACCCAGGTCTCCAACTTCCTCTCAGGTGAGGTGAGGTGAAATTGGGTTTAACGTCGTGCTTGAGAATATTTCGCTCATATGACGACGTGCATGTGTGTGTATGTGTATGTGCGGCTGCTTGTACTAGCCCAGACTGAAGATTGTTTTATAGTGCTAGCCCACTGAGATACCGTGCCGCAGTGAAGCATGAATACCCCACCCAGACACATTATACTGACTCCGAGGCGACCAGTCCTTGTTGTACCCATTAATGCCGAACGCCAGGCAGGGACCAACAAGTACCATATTTTAACGTCTTTTGGTATGACGCGGTTGGGGATCGAACCTTCCGCTCTCCGGGCGGACGCTCCAACCACTACACCACGGAGGCGGTTCTTTTCATCCATGTACACTCTTAGACCACAGAAATAGTCAAGCCTTTTTTTCACCCTTAAGATCCACTCAGCAATATTGCAAACATTGAAAATGAAACCTGACCAGGGCCTCTTTTGACAAAGCAACCTTTACTAAGGTTAACCTTAACTCATATTATTTAACAAGCTCTTTTTTGGTATAACGCGGTCGAGGATCGAACCCGCAACCTTCCGCTCGCCAGGCGGACGCTCTAACCACTACACCACGGAGGCGGTCTCCTCTCAGGTGTTTGATCTTGTTAACTTTTTTACCAAGTGAACCACATTAGTGTTATCTTGCCATTAACATCTCACTCACTTCAAAACTTGAGCAATCATCACAATCTTCCTATACTATAATCATAACTAATATATCTCAGATGTATACCTATCCTGCACTAAAATATATACCATCTCTTGCAGTACACCTGAAACATAATCCCTATGGAGATCCCCCAATAAACGAATCACATGACCCAAGCTGTACAAACAACCTGTTGTACCCACCTTCAGTGTGCTGTACAGCTCCTCCTCGGTCAGGATACCGTCGACGCCCACCACAAAAACATCGTCCGATGCAAGGTCCTGTAGACAAAGACAGACATACATGCAGCGACACACCAACATTGCTTGACTATGAGAATAATGCTCATGATGTAATGGCATGTAATCATTCTGTCATAAATTTTCATCCGTGTGAGGTGAGGTGAAATTGGATTTTACGTCGTGCTTGAGAATATTTCGCTCATATGACGACGCATGCGTGTGTATGTGTATGCGGCTGCTTGTACTAGCCCAGACTTAAGCTGGTTTTATAGTGCTAGCCCACTGAGATACCATGCCGCAGTGAAGCATGAATACCCCACTCAGACACATTATACTGACTCCGAGGCGACCAGTCCTTGTTGTACCCATTAATGCCGAGCGCAAGGCAGGGACCAACAAGTACCATATTTTAACGTCTTTTGGTATGACGCGGTTGGGGATCGAACCTTCCGCTCTCCGGGCGGACGCTCCAACCACTACACCACGGAGGCGGTTCTTTTCATCCATGTACACTCTTAGACCACAGAAATAGTCAAGCCTTTTTTTCACCCTTAAGATCCACTCAGCAATATTGCCAACATTGAAAATGAAACCTGACCAGGGCCTCTTTTGACAAAGCAACCTTTACTAAGGTTAACCTTAACTCATATTATTTAACATTGTGCTAAGGTTACCGTAGTGACTTAGGATTACCTTAGTGCTTTGTGAAAGGAGGCCCAGATCATTATTATAAATTTGGATGATCAATAGTTGAGTTTAGTTGAGAGTATTGTTTGATGGCTCAGTGGAAGCTACTAGTAGGTTATATAACCCGGGTATGCATTTCCGTAAACCTACAATAAGTCCTGCGATACAATACATCACAATACTAAAATTTTAGTCAAGACGATATATTGCCAAAGTATTGTGCAATTACAATGCGATACGATACGAATCCTGATACCAGGGTGGCGATACGATACTAATCAATAATTCTAACACCAACTATAAAACACGTTAAGATCAAAACAAAGGCAATTTTAAAGTATTTCGTCAAATTCTACCAGCGTTGTTCAATGTCCATTCGGAAATCAGATAATTAAGTTGACACAGACTTTGTGAATGTTGATAACATGCAAGCTCTATGTTTGACAGTTCTTGACACAAGAATTTCCAAGAAAACGCTTACTTATGAAGGAAAAATATGTGTGCATATATTTTAATCATCAAGTTTTTTTTCTCGACAGATTTCACGATTCGGCAATATTCGAAGTAAAACATTGACATATTGTGGCCCATTTGAAGTATCGTATCGGGATATACAACAATGTACACTTTGTATCAATTCACTGTATCGGCGGCCCATGGATCGATGCATCGATGAATCATCACACCACTAGTGTCAGTAAGGAGTACATCTCACCATGGCCTGCAGGAAAGCCCACTTGTCCTGCAGAAGCTGAGGGGTGTTGTAGTCCAGTTGTTTAGCTGCATCTAGCACCAATCTCAGGGGGATGTCAACCTGTACAGGAACATGGCAGATGGTGTAATGTTGATATAAGGTATCTCACTGAGTAAGCTAAAGGATTTAGGCCAACTTGGCCTGTCACATTATTGCATTTACACAGCCAAACACATGATGTCTGTTTTGCTTGTTTGTTTGTTGTTAGGTGAGGTGAGGTGAAATTGGGTTTATCGTCGTGCTTGAGAATATTTCGCTCATATGACGACGTGCATGCGTGTGTATGTGTGTGTGCGGCTGCTTGTACTAGCCCAGACTGAAGCTGGTTTTATAGTGCTAGCCCACTGAGATACCATGCCGCAGTGAAGCATGAATACCCCACTCAGACTCCAAGCCGACCAGTCCTTGTTGTACCCATTAATGCCGAGCGCCAGACAGGGACCAACAAGTACCATATTTTAACGGCTTTTGGTATGACGCGGTCGGGGATGGAACCCGCGACCTTCCACTCTCCGGGCGGACGCTCTAACCACTACACCATGGAGGCGGACTTGTTCGTTGTTAACCCCCACACTCAGCAATAGTTCACCTATATGGCAGAGCTCTGTAAATAGTTGTGTCTAGACCAGACAATCCAGGGATCAACATCATGAGCATTGATCTAGGCAACTGGAGTACGATGACATGTGTCAACCAAGTCAGTGAGTCAGACCACCCCATCCTGATAATTGCCTCTTACGACAAGCATGGGTTGCTGAAGGCCAATTCTAACCTGGATCTTTATGGGTATCACATACACTAAGATATGTGAGTTTGTTGAAGACTGCTTGAACCAGCTCAGATTAATTAGGAGATAAACATACTGTGTTGGAAAATCTAAGGTATATAACGAAATTATAATAGCTGTTTTCATTGTTTTCATTGCTATTAGTGGCGGCCTAAGAGACAGCTGGCAGTTCCGGCAATTACTGATTTGTGCGAATAATTGAACGCACGATGTAGTCTAAACTGTCAATTCCAAAAAAGCTTCATATAACGGAAGCTGTCAATTCCGCGAATTTGCACCAAGCGAAAAAAAGTATGTTTACAGTACCTCTGAATGACTTTGATTAACCAATCACAATCCTGTATTTACTGAAGTCATGGTAGAATGTCAGTTCTATACTGCCATCCCACTCAGATACCATACCACTGTCTAAATATGGATTCCCAACTCTTAACAATATACTGACTCCAACCCTACCAGTCATTGTTTTAAACCCTTGATGCTGAACACAAGGCAGGTAACAACAAACACAGTCTTTTACTTTCTTTTGCTTTCTGTGGCCAGGGAATCAAAACAAACATTCCCTTTCTGAGTGATCTAAATCTTATCTGAGCTCTGACAGTCTTTTACCTTCTTTTTGCTTTCTGTGGCCAGGGAAACAAAACTATAAAGGATGCTATCATCAGTTACAGAGAGACAGTGACAGAGACAGTTACTCACAGTGTCGTAGTGGTTGTTTGGGTAGGGCTCAGCAAAGCCGTACATATGGAGAAGATGCCAGTTGGCCACCTGCCCGTATGTGTTGAATACTTCTTCGCCCTGCAAAACATTAGCAAAAAATGTCAGCACGTGGCACAATCGGCATGGTTCAGTGTGGTTAAATAAAAAATAAATTTGATGATAAATGATAATTGAAATGGTTTGTTTTTATTGTGAATATCATTATAGTTAATCACTTAGTTTGGTTGAAAAAAAAATCAGAATAACTGAGAAATAAATTTCTTTATCCGCATTCTAGAAGTTTGAGAGTCAATCATGAAGCATATCACTTTATGAATAACAACTTTAGTTTCTTGCATGGAGTGACGTTTTTATGTAGATTCTTACACCATAAGCAAAACTTTTAGCATGAAAACAATGTAAGAACCTACCCTGAAACACTGCTCTATGCAATAAACAAGAAGTTGTTATCCATATAGTTGTAATGCTTTACAAAGCTTTGTAACCGAGAAACCAGATTCCATATTTTCTCTTTCTTTAACTGCCTGTCATAGTCAAAGATGTTCTGATTTAGTTCAAATCAAATACATTTCCACCAAACCAAGTATGATTTGTTTACCTTTTTGATATCATTAATAGCAACCATCTTCAAGCAGTCCTTCTCAAACTCCAGATTTGCATTATTCTTTGCCACATGATTCAAGATGTCTGCCATGGGCACCATCATGGGAGGGGAGGTAACTGTGTCAGCTTCATCTTCCTCTTCACCGTCCATTTTGACAGGCTCGGTGAAGCTGTAGGCCATGACAAAGGCCACTATCTTCTTGTAGAACTCAATGTCATCGTATAATGGCCTGCATGGATAAAGTCATTGAAGATAAAAATCATATGACTGTTACACACACATTTCAATCTCTCGTGAAAACATTTTCATTTTACTTCACTCAGGTCTTAAATGAAAATATGCAGTGTGCAACAAAACAAACATATGTACACCCTATTGATGACAAGTATTATTGAGTCCAAGAACTTCTTTATTATAGACATCCAGGATGCATACACAACATTTCAGGTTACTTCTTTCCTCTTCATCTCCTCATGATCATCTCCTGATGAGGTGAGGTGAGGTGAGGTGAGGTGAGGTGAGGTGAAATTGGGTTTAACGTCGTGTTTGAGAATATTTCGCTCATATGACGACTTGCATGCATGCGTATGTGTATGTGCGGCTGCTTGTACTAGCCCAGACTTAAGCTGGTTTTATAGTGCTAGCCCACTGAGATACCATGCCGCAGTTAAGCATGACCCCACTCAGACACATTATACTGACTCCGAGCTGACCAGTCCTTGTTGTACCCACTAATGCTGAATGCCAGGCAGGGACCAACAAGTACCATATTTTAACGTCTTTTGGTATGACGCGGTCGGGGATCGAACCCGCGCGACCTTCCACTCCCCGGGCGGACTCTCTAACCACTACACCACAGAGGCGGTCCATCTCCTGATGAAGACACATTAACAATTCCAAATGTCAGTGTATGAAATAAGCCAAAACCCCTGCCAGACATCAGGGCTTGTAACTTCAAAATGTTACCAGTCCAAAATGGATTTAACCAGACCAGACACCAAGATATGACTCAGATGTATATAACATTGCAAGTTTTTATTAGACCATCCAGCTGGCTAGCTGTAAATCTAGACCGTCTGTCTAAAATCTAACCTGTCTCGGGCGGTCGGACGGACCTTATTTCATACACTGCTAATGTCATTGTGACATAATGATATATCTTCTTTCCAGTGGTCCTTTGTTTGGGGTTCATGTATCTACTAGCATATCTTATAAGAAGATTCACACTGGACAGATCTCACTTGATTTGTTTCCAATCTTGATTTTCCACTGTTACTTTCCTAAACCTATTGAGCAGTTAGGGTGATTTCTATCTCACATCATAGTAGGACATAAACGTTCATGCAGTCTCATCATTACTGTATGCATAGCATTTATTTCATTTTAAAAGAAAAAAATTCGCCCAGACCAGTGAAGCACTCATAGGTCAAGGACACAGGGCATGGAAAGTTACGTGCATTCATTGACTTTGAAATATGCAAAAAACTGAGTCCTATCTCAATTGAAAATCAACATTTTTAAGCTAGCTGCTTCAAACTAAATGTATGCTTGTCAAGCAAAGGACCCCTGTTTGATTCCAACCATGGACGTAATATTTGAAGTCCATTTCTGGTGTCCCATGCCAAAATATAGCTGGAATATTTTGTCAAAGTGAACTCATACTCACTAACTATAATATTTCACTGGAAAAACTGAACCAAAAACATTGGATATATGTATTTAACCCACCCAAACACATCCTTGTGTTTCTGGATGAAAGGCTGCACAAGCTTCTTGAAGTCATGAGTTATGTTGACAAGGTCACGGTCAACTGCCTCAATCACACCGGTGCCTTTCAGGAGCTCTTCTCGTTCAGACCTGCACAAATGAGTATCAGCACATTATATATCATTCATACAGGCATTGATAAACAACGCACCAAAGAGAATCTTAACAATTAAACAAAACCATAAATATTTCAGGGATGGCAACAGGAAAATCTATTTTTGGCTTTAAACTTGATATTGTGTCATCGAACGGTGGTTCAGGATTTCTCAAAGGATTTAGACGATTCACAGAACTGATCAATTTGGAATAAAATTGGTGGAAATCCGCAGATCAGCGGAAAATTGACATCCCTGATATTTGGATAAAATACTGTGATAACTTGCTACAACCAAATAGTCAAGTCTGTCCCAGACAGTCGAGTGATCAACATCATGAACATTGATCTACGCCTAGGAATACAGTTACATGTGTCAACTAGGGGTGGGTATTGGGGAGAATTTACACATTGCGATATATTGCGATGCGAAAGCATATATTGAGATATGTATTGCAATATATTGCAAGATTTTTTTTAACAAAACACTGCTAATAATCGAGTTACTGCTTGAATTTATAAAGCAAAAACACTACAAAATATCTCTGCTTGATTAAGCTTTAAGAATAAAAACCCTTTTAATCATGACAAAATAAAAATGGAAATAATATTTGGCACAAATGAAACAAGGAAAAGAACAATTTAACATCAACACAGTGGTTACTAGTTTGAACTAGTTCCTCTACTCTCAAAAGAGCCCTGAGGTGTTAGACAGCAAGTTGACCTGGACATATCAGAGATCACTGGTCATTAATGAGTAAATATTTAAAACATTTTGATCCAAAACATTGCAAAACACTTGAACAAAATTTAGAACACAACTTCAAACCGAACTTAACAATCCAGTTAAATGTAATTTTCACCACCATCAATCCCGCAACCACCATTACCACAATCATCAACATCTTCATCACCATCATTATCACTCCATTACAAAAATCATCATCATCATCATCACACACCATTGCCACAAACATGCATGTCAAAATACCGGTTTTTTGATCAGCGTATCGCAATGCATGTCGTTTTCATATCTGAACTGGTACATACCGGTAAACCGGTTATATTGCACAGCCCTAGTGTCAACCAAATCAGCAAGCCTGACAGTGACCACCTGATCCCCTTTTTACTAACAATTGCTACCCACTTGGGACAGAATATTTTGCCTTGGAGCTGATGTACATAAACTCGTGACAGAGCTGTATGAGATAAAGTCTATGTCACCACTCCGAGGTGTGACAAGTGTGAGGTGGATGATGACTTACTGAGACCAGAACATAGGGAGAGTGAGCTCCTTGAAGTCGGGGGCAGACGTCCAGGTATGTCCTCCATCTTGACTGAGGGTTGTTGTATTCATACATCAGCGCAATTAGAAGGGGAATCCAGCCACTGGAGCTCTGTAGCTCGGCCGACCCTGAAACATATAGGTCATGTTACCAGAGCTCCAGATAAGATTTAGCTCATGTGGGTTCTGTACCCACTATAGTTTTTTTGGAGTGGGTATTATGAATGTTGAGTTGGTATTTCATTTTCCGTTACCCACTGCTTTCAAATATGTTCCTTATTTCAGTCATGTTACTCACCTAAGTATTATGTCATTGAGTAAGTTTACTAAGCAGGTATGTTCTGCCTTATGTCATACCTAATCAAAACCAAGTTAAATATAATGGAAATGATTTCATAAAAAATCACTCATCCTATCCTGACAGTACAACACTTGTCCTATATTAACAGTACAATTTGACAGCAATCGGTGTCTTTTTCATTACGCAAGCTATTTTTATAAATATATTCCGTACGCATTTGTTTTGAACTTTTTGCATATCTAACATTTTAAATGCTAATTGGTACGCAACAATTATTTTTCAGTGCGTAATCGGAAATTTTCAATGCGTATTTTACCCAGATAGGCAGCTTATCTGGTCCTCTGTGTCACTTTAAAAATTAGTGATGGTCATTCATTAGTCTGTGTTTAGTAGGGAATTTGGAAACCAAGTTATATGGATAGTCAACTTCTTTATTGCAATGACTATGATGTTTCGACGTAGGTACTAACACTGTTTTCAAGCAAGTGATACAAAAGAGTTGTAACATGGAGAATATATACATTGCTGCATAGTGAGTATATACAATTAACAAGGTTGATGTACATTGGATATCTGATTAGTGATTTGACTTTGAGAAGTGTAGGGTGATGTACAGAGTGATTGGTTGTGATTAGATAGGACAGTCCATGGCAACAGATAGGACAGTCCATGGCAACAGATAAGACCAATCCGTGGCAACAGATAGGACAATCGAGTGCAACAGATAGGACAGTCCATGGCAACAGATAGGAACAATCCATGGCAACAGATAGGACAATCCATGGCAACAGATAGGACCAATCCATGGCAACAGATAGGACAATCCATGGCAACAGATAGGACAATCCATGGCAACAGATAGGACAATCCATGGCAACAGATAGGACAATCCATGGCAACAGATAGGACAATCCATGGCAACAGATAGGAACAATCCATGGCAACAGATAGGACAATCCATGGCAACAGATAGGACAATCCATGGCAACAGATAGGACAATCCATGGCAACAGATAGGACAATCCATAGCAACAGATAGGACAATCCATGGCAACAGATAGGACAATCCATGGCAACAGATAGGACAGTCCATGGCAACAGATAGGACAATACATGGCAACAGATAGGACAATCCATGGCAACAGATAGGACAATCCATGGCAACAGATAGGACAATCCATGGCAACAGATAGGACAATCCTTATGGCAACAGATAGGACAATCCATGGCAACAGATAGGACCAACTCCGTGGCAACAGATAGGACAATCGATGGCAAATAGATAGGACAATACATGGCAACAGATAGGACAATACATGGCAACAGATAGGACTGACTGACTGACTGAGTTTGGTTTTACGCCGCTTTTAGCAATATTCCAGCAACATCACGGCAGGGGACACCAGAAATGGGCTTCACACATGGTTGTGATTAGAGGTTCAGTTTATACAATGGTGAGTTTGATATACAATGATATGGTAATTAGTAAGTAGGTTGAAGTAATTTCTATTTGTTTTGTCACTTACATAAATTACTTACAAGGTGAAAAGTTTAAAATGCAATATGCCATTTTTTTTAGAACATACTGCCTGTGATAATTAACCAATAACTCAAAATCTTGACATCCATGAAGACTAACAAACACACATATTCATTATGTCTTTTAGCGGCATTTAGAAGTTGTTGATGACCAAGATAATTTATGGACTTAATCTTCTTTATTCTTTCCCACACAAACATTTCGGGATCATTACAGATCCCTTTATCAGGTAAAATGACAGAATATTCCATCTTTGGACACTGGTGTCTTTGCTGTAACTGTAAGCATTGTAACCAGAAAGACCAAGCTTGCAAGGGAAAAACTACCTTGGGATAAAGTAGCAGTTGTTTTGTGAATGTGTTCCAATTTTTAACAAGTCAGAATCCTGATGCTCTTTAGTAGTCCTGATACGATTCATTCACATATTCTGAACAATTTGTTATTCGTGGTCACTAAAATAAAAAAAAATTTACAAATATCTTCTAAAAAAGAGAACTTGGAACGGGTCTGATATTTATCAAAGTGTGATAAGCAAAATGGAACATATACAAGTATACTACTACTTTAGGGTACTGTCATTAGGCTATAAGCTGTATTGTAATGATGTACTAGTATTGTTTTTTTCATTTCACAAAAACATAACATATTCATGAACAAATATTTGTATCATTTACCCTATATTCGTGAAATATATCAAAATCGTCTCAAAGTGTATTCAATGCAGTTCTAGTCTTTAGGTATGTAGCAACTGTGTCTGAACCAGATATTTACTGCTAGCCACAGATAACTCTCATTTGTGAGTCTTTTCATCTGAGGCTGGGACATAAACTCACTTTGAAACAGCTTTGTATTGCATATGTATGGCTAAGGGAATTACAACAACTTAGTGAGATGTTATAACTACACACGCTAGTAGAAAGTTTAATATCCATCCTTTTAATGCCCAGTATTTGAATAAATTAATTAAGTTCCATGCTGATGGGTGCCTCATTTGACTATATTGATACTGCAAACAGCTTTTTGAATTGCATCTTGTACAGAACTGTAACCTAAATTCGTGGATAACCTTGATTCGTGGATCGTGGAAATAATCATGCTAGCTCGTAAATTAAGCCTCGACTGACGTCACGAAGCAATACTTCTGATGTACATACAATGCCACACCTCGCTGACAAAAAAGTTCCGAATCTCTGCATTTCATGCAAGTACACTTAATATAATTGTCCAGCATTGAGATAAATAGCCCCAGATCACTAATACCACCATTACCAAATTTTATTTTTTAAAAATGTCAAGTTAAAAAGATCCCATTAGCTCCAACATTCTCACTTCTCGTCTGCTTTCCTTGGTGTCAATGCTTACTGCAGTTGTATGTCGTACATAGTGATATAAAGTAAACGACTACGTAATCCATGAAACAAGGTGACGTCACATTTTGTGGGCACACGAATGGGTGATGATTGCAATGGCTTCTGTAAACAAACGTTTTATTCACCAGGGTCTGAAATAACTTTAAAATTGCTAGTGTACTCCGGTACAGTGGCACATGTGAAATCACTTGCCCTGATAATTTTTCCACTATACCAGCTGTTTTTTTCTTGAATTTTTTTAAATAAACAACATAATTAACATTGGAAAGTCAAATGGACATCGGTACAGTGTGATATACGAATTTGCTTGCCCGACACTGGACTCGGACGTCGAGCAATGGGTTATTTCCACCCCTGTTCACAGTGGAATATTCGGCATTTTCAATTTGCTGAATCAATGAATAAAATAATCAGTGCGTATACAAAATGAAATCATGCATTTAAAATATGAATTTTGCCGCACTTCCCTTATATCCACGAATCAAGGTTATGCGAGTGTAATTAATTATAAATAATAAACATTGCTTTTTACCTTCTTCCAACAATTTGGCAATGCCACATGTGCTTGGTGTCAGTAACATCTTTCTGGGGATGACGAAGAGTGTCTCTCCCTTCTCAATGTCAGTTATAGCAACCATGCCATTTTGTGCACATGATCCTTCTTTACCAACTTTCACCTAAAACATAAACATGATGAGACATTTAAAACTACAGTTCTAACATAAACAAAGAATGAGAAAACAACAAACACCCGAGAACTAAACGTGGATGCCATAAACGTTATTTTATATGGTCTAAAAATATGGCAAAATACACACACTTGAATTCATTTCGTACAACCATGATCTCATACCTTTTGTCTCGTTGAACGATTGACATAAAATCAATATATTGACAAATTCAGATATTACTTCAAAAACACATGATAAAGCAAAATTGGGTAATCCTACTGGAAGTTCACTTTCGATGTATCAACTGACATGGAAAGGAAAGCAACAGTTGATCAAATAATGTCTGAAAGAACCAAAGAAATTTGAATATCGTTTGTTTACTTTGTCCAAACAATGGTGACATGTAAACAGCGATTCGTGATAATCTGTGCACGCATTTTCACCTTTTTCGAGACACAAAATCCGTTGTCATCACACCACTTTAGAAATATCAGTAGTTTTTCACTTTGGACGGAGTCAGTGGATGTTTTTGCCGGCACTTCGTCTTCTCCATCACCCACGTGTTTCCTGGTCGCCATGTTTTGATATATCGCATTCGGTACGCCCGCAGTTACCCCCCTTGTTATGTCCACAACGAGCTCCATCCCAGCGCGATATGTTCCTTCCTGTGTTGATAATTGATAGAAATATCGCTATAGGGAGCTTGTTTTCAGGGCGGCTTTAGAACGTTGCTTCTTCACGTTTAGCTTGCATCCGGATCAGCTTGCGACAGCTTTGTCTCTTGTCGGTGTATATTTTGGTCAGCTGTTTTTTGTGTCCCTGTCAATGACAACATCTGTCATTAGGTGAGACCTTCACAGACAGACGTCTTAGCACACGGGGAATATAATGATATGCAATGATACGGTTTCTCGATGTTTTTAGCTGTATTTCGAAAGGTTAATGTTCACAAGTCACAACTGTCATATTCAATATTGTGATAAAAGTTTCCAAGCTGACTAAACTGTCTATCATGGCCGTAAAAATAGGAGATCGCATAAGACAGAACAGATTATGTTGTTAATCTCGTCACCTTGTTAAGAAATATTTGTAGCTCCTTTTGACCAATGTTGGCCCGCCCCCAACTAATTTTTAAAACACCTTAAAATCATATCTTTTCACTGTTGTTATATAACTAACTACAGAACATATTGCTGTTCATTCAAACTTCATTCCAACATGTCCCAGAGTGTTTTAGGTTGAATCCCAAGGTTTGCTGAATGCATGCTTATTTATAGCTGCAGTAGTTGGCCATAATTAAGTGATTCATCATTAGTCCTGCCCAAGGCATACATGACGTTTAGCGTCCGAACCCAATTTTATGAGTAGAGCACTTTCCCGGCGATTTTCAACGGGAACGTTTCTGACTCCAGAGACATTGAAAAACGAATCATCGCATGTATATTGATACACGGATCGAAAGATCAATCCTTTAGGTACAGGAACACGACGTTTAGCTTGCTGAACTATAGTTGGCCATAATTAAGTGATTCATCATTAGTCAAATTTCCATAGACTTACATGTTAATTAACTGTTGCAAGAATAATTTTCATAAATTTAGTAGAAGTCATTTTATTTTGATATTTTGCAGAAATCTTAGAAATCATCTTCAGCTATGTGTACATAATTTTCTTTCATATTTCCTTTGATTAGTTATCGAATGACACCTGATTAAGCACCATAAGTACAACTTAATTTTGATCTATCCCATAGACAGCCATGTTAAACCTGATTGGTTTGTCTATTATATGTTGTTTAAATAGTTACAGTTTTCTTAATAATCATCGGAAAATTGAACGGAATTATGTGTATGTAGCTGAGAAGATTTCCCAGCTGGTAGATAAGTATTGAAAGCAATTCGACTGAAACTAAATTTATGAAAATTATTCTTGGAAGGGTTACCAGTAATTAACATGCAAGTCTGTGGGAATTTCGCAAATGATGACTCACTTATGGCCAACTACTGTATACTGGCTAGCGAACAGTTATTGCCGCATAAGAGTTATCGCCAATACATCAGTATCACACGTGCGCAGTTTCGGTCAATTACAATTCCAGTATTTTTCCCTAATGGTATTTGACAACAATAAAGGACAGCAAAAGAAAATCCTTTACAGTAACATAAGAGAAAATAACAGATAAAGTTATGAACCCTAAAAAATTATGAACCCTATAAAATTTTTGTAACTTAGTCAGGGGAATGTCACACGATCTGTAATAGCAAGTTCAAGATCATAAGTCATTAATTGTTTCCATCCCTATCAATCTACTGTAAAAGAAACACTCAAATAGTCACACAATCAATTATTCAAGATTACTGTATGATATAAATATATGTATTATTTCAGGAATGGCACTCCAAATACACTCCGAAACGTCGTGTTATTCACAATAAAGAAGTTGACATCCATAAATCTTTCTTTTCTTATGATTAATTTTGTTTCATAATTTAACGAATGCCGGAGTAATTTTGTAAATACCGCTAAAATATGGCGATAACTGTTTGGTAGCCAGAAGTGGAACTTTTCTGCTTTGGTTGTATTACTCCAGACTCAGATTTGACGATAAAATGATTCATCGGCAGATCATTACACAATAAATGTAGGACAGTTAGTATTTGCTCTTTTGACATCGTGAAACTCTTTACTTTAGAGCGTCCGCCCGGAGAGCGGAAGGTCGCGGGTTCGATCCCCGACTGCGTCATACCAAAAAGACGTTAAAATATGGTACTTGTTGGTCCCTGCCTGGCGCTCGGCATTAATGGGTACAACAAGGACTGGTCGGCTCGGAGTCAGTATAATGTGTCTGAGTGGGGTATCCATGCTTCACTGCCGCATGGTATCTCAGTGGGCTAGCACTATAAAACCAGCTTAAGTCTGGGCTAGTACAAGCAGCCGCACATACACATACACACGCATGTACGTCGTCATATGAGCGAAATATTCTCAAGCACGACGTAAAACCCAATTTCACCTCACCTCACCTCACTTCAGAAACCACTGTACAAATTTTCAGGCTATGTTCCTCAAGGCATTCCTTTCATGGAAGGTTTTATTTTTGAAAAAATTATTCATTATTGTCATTGGTTGTTTCTGATCAACTGAATGCTATCGTGTATTGAACTGCTGAAACATGTTTCTGTGAATTCAGAAGATGTATAGATGTGAAGAAATTAGACCTTTCTTACTTGTTAATTTGTGCATCACTATCTATGGAACCCTGCAATTTCTATGTATTTTGGAGGAACTATACAAGAGAGATCTTGAGCTTATGTTTGTTTAATGAAATGATTACTTGATGCACAATCTTCTCAGAAAACTTTGCTTGTCACACCAAAGTCATGGATTCGATTCTCCATATTGTACAATGTGTGAAGCCCATTTCTGGTGTCCCCCATTGGGATATTGCTGGAATATTGCTAGAGGTGGCATAAAACTAAACTCACTCACTCTTAGAAAACAACATCCATATTTCAAACTGCTGTCCCACAGTTACATAGAGAAGTGGATATTAAATATACTGTTAAATGTCGTCATAATTTCAGTCTGAGATTCCTTTAAATAACTGGTTTTTCACTGTTTGAATTCTTAGAAAAGCCCTTCAATTCACAGTCGTTTTGATATAAATATATTCTGATGCTGTGGAAAATGGCGTAGAACTGGAGCTTTTCGTAATTTGACCTGATAACTTGTCATCATATATCATTTGGTGGAACAATGCTCAGGATTTCCATCACTGGATCATCTAGTCCAGATTCAGTTGTTTACAGACCAAAGTGATATACTTTGAATATTGCTGAGTGCACTGCTAAACAAACAAATCTATGCTACATCCTTTCGATAAGAATGAGTGAGTTGGCTTTTACACCGCTTTAAACAGTATGCATGTAATATTCCTGCAACCTTTGAACATACAGGTTAGAATTGGTCACCAGCAACTCATGCTTGTTATAAAAGGTGACTATGTGGTCAGGATCGCTGACTTGGTTGACACGCCATCATATCCCAATTGCCTAAGTCGATGCTCATGATGTTGATCACTGGATTGTCTGGTCCAGACTCAATTAGTTACAGACCATTGCCATGAAGCTGGAATGATGCAGAGTGTGGCATTAAACAACAAACAAACAACAGGACTCTGACATGGAAAATGTTTTTACCAAAAAGTTGCTTTGTATAATTTCAGCATTGACTGGAAGAACAGGAATCCTGAACGCCTGTGTTGAGTATGGAGGAGATGCTGAAGCAGGAACTGGGCACCTCGGTGCTGAAGAGAACCAGGATGGGAGGGGGAGGTTGCATCAGCGAGGGTGTGGCATATGAGACTGATGAGGGTCTAGTCTTCGTCAAGATGAACAGTGGATCCGAGGTGAATACAAAATAAGCTTGTTAGTTTACTTGCTGCGAAAATCATGTGCAAAGGTTGCAATATGTAATTGATGATGCCAGAAGCGAAAGGTCCCTGATTGTTAATAACTGACTGTGATAGTAAGCTGATTGACTAACCAATGTTTTTATGACTTAAATGACTGCCACAACAATCCATTCTGTCACTTACATTGACAGGAACTTGTGAACTAGAATTAGGTTTTTTGCACATTGGGTTGGTCTCTCCTGTTTGGCAGGTCACTCCTATTTTGGAGGTCACACCCGATGGGCAGGTCACTCCTTAGGGAAAGTCACACCCTTTGGTAGGTCACTCCAATTCATTTTGGAGTCACAACCAATAGTCAGGTCACTCCCATCCTGGAGATCACACCTGATGGGAAGGTCACTGTTTGATAAGTGACACCCTTTTAGCAGGTCACTCCAATTCACTTTGATGTCACACCCAATGGGCAGGTCTATCTTTGGGAAAGTCACACCCTTTTGGCAGGTCACCCCTATTCATTTTGGAGTAAAAACCAATGGTCAGCTCACTCCTGTTTAGCAAGTCACACCCTTTGATAGGTCACTCCTATTTTGGAGGTCATACCCTTCCGGCAAGTCACTTCAATCTTGGAGGTCACACCTGATGGGAAGGTCACACCTTTTGGGCAAGTCACACCTGATGAGGAGGTCAATCCCATTGCACAAGTCACACCCCTTTGGCAGTAGTGGTGGTCCGATTAATTGAATCAATCGAAGGTTGGTCGCAATGACCAAACAACCAAGCAATCAATCATGTTTTCTCATAATCGAACACAAGCAATTTTGGAACACCTGTTTGCATCAGCAACATTTTTCACAAGGTTGGTTTTGTCTGTTACATTTCATAAGCACTACAAACTCATTCCTTGTCATGATTGAATTTATCTTAAAGACTCCAAGAAATTTATGTTCCTAACATACTATAGTCACCCTTTAAGATGTGAAATTTGTAAATGCATTTTGTGCAGTTTGCAAAAAAAAACCCAGAAAAAACTACATGTTTTTCTATATTTTTTGTGCATTAACAAACATAACCATGAGAATTTGATAAATGACCCTAACAAATTATTTTCGATGATTGATCGGTTGTAATGAACCAATCATCAATTGTGAGATTTTAACCAATTCCCACCACTAGTTGACAGGTTACTTCCATTCATTCATTTTGGAGGTGACAACAGATGGGCAGATCACTACCATTCCCTCCCTCATTGAGGCAGGTCACAGCCCTGTGGCAGATCACTACCATTCCCTCCCTCATGAGGCTGGTCACAGCCCTTTGGCAGATCACTACCATTCCCTCCCTCATGAGGCTGGTCACAGCCCTTTGGCAGATCACTCACATTCACTTTGTAAGTGTTCCACCTGCTGTCACACCTGAGACATCAGTCAGTGTGTCACTATCCAGCACTTCTTCTACTGTTCCAGGCACGGAAGATGTTTGATGGAGAGTTTGCAAGCCTTGTTGCTCTGTACAAAGCTGATGAAGTGAAAGTACCAAAACCCATCAAGGTAAGAAGCTGCTCATGTTCATCAGCAAGTATTTAGGGCTAAAATCCTAAATGGCTTGTTATGGACATGGCCAGATAGTTCCCTTTGACCTTATATAGATACAGTGGATATAGCATCTGCCCGGAGAGCAGGGTGCTGTTTTTACGAATCAGCCAGAAATAGCAGTTACGCCAGTCGTGAAGTCTATGTTAAGATATGGGAGTTACGATATGGGAGTTATGGTCACTTTTGGCCCCCCAAAAATATATGTCCGTTTCCTATTACATGCTTTTTAAAAATAAGGTAGCTGGGTCGATTTTATCCTCTCTTTTTTTACTTTTATTTTTATTTTTTAGCAGCACTAGCTGGGCACCTGAGAATGTCTTCAAGGATACCATATCATGTTGTGACAATGCCTTGTGATGAAACATTGAAAGATTCATTATTCATGTTATTTATCTGTCAGTGAGAGCCCATTATGCCAATTCAATGCAATCCATTTTAGCCACTGAAAAACATGAAAATATCATACTCGATTTGGATGAAAATGATGAGTTGAAATGCACTCCAGTCATGACTTTGACTTGGTTAAAAAAATATTTAGGATCAGGGGGGTTTAGGATAGGGTCGGTCGGGTAGCCAGAAACGGAGATATTTTTGTTGTTGGCCTTAGCGCTAAGATCGATTTGTACAATGGCACCCTGGACTTTGTCAGCCATCGTGTCTAAAGATGGTAAAAGACGATACTTGATTTTACCTTGCCTGGTACTTAGCATTAAAGTGATAAAACAAGTAGTCATCACCATGGAAACAGTGTACTGTGTCTGAGTGTAGTATATTGGCTAAACGATTTGGCCTTGCTATCAAAGAGTTATCATTCTTAACTTTATCTGTCTCCTCATTAAGAATCTGTTTCTCAGAGGGAAAGTTTGTTGAAGATGTATGAATGTGTTTGTCTTATGTTAATGATGTTAGTTTGTGTTGCTGTGTTTGAGGCGCTGACAAACCCTGAGGGCGGCGCCGTCTTGGTAATGGAGTATCTGGACATGAACAGTCTCTCCTCCTACTCTGCAGCGCTCGGCCAGCAACTAGCGAGGTATATCTTAGACAGAATCAACCTCTGTCCCCACTTTGTGATGCTGAGCCAACAAACCCATGAAGATCTGTGTTAGAATTGATCTTCAGTAACCCATGCTTGTCATAAGAGGCGAGTAATGGGATTGGGTGGTCAGGCTTGGTTGACACCTGTCATCATATCCAAATTGTGTAGAACACTGCTCATGTTATTGATCACTGGATTGTCTGGTCCAGACTCGATTACTTATATGATGTTTTGTGAATACTGGGTTAATTAACTTCCCAGACATCTGGATTGAACTCCACATGTGATGTGGGAGAAAAGTACATGTATGGCTCAGAAGTAGACAGGCTGAATATCATTATCAGTGGAAATCTGATTAAATTGTATGCATGTTTTACCTCAATCTTTTGTGAGGTAAAACCATGCATATGGAACCCATCAGGATGGATCTCTAGTTCAGTAACTGAAGTATTGCACTACCTCTTTTATTGTCCCCCGCTGCAACACGGAACGGGGGACTATGTATTCAGCTGCGTCCGTACGTACGTCCCGATTCTTGTTAACGCGAACTCATGAACCGTTGTACCCAATGTCTTCAAATTTGGTGACAGTCTACATTGGGGGATTACGCAGACACCATTTGATTTGGGTGACCTTGACCTTATCTTCAAGGTCACCACGACACTTTGACCACTTCTCAAACTTACGTAAACGCGATATCTCATAAACCATTACACCCAATGTCTTCAATTATGTCGACAGCCTAAATTGGGTGATTATGCAGACACCAGTCATTTCAGGCATCTTGTATGTGACCAAAAAATAAAAAGTAGTAAATATGTTATCAATATTTCATTCTTCTTTAGCGGAGGTGGACATTGCCATATTAGTGGCAAACACTTGTTAATGACTTGTTACCTTGTAAACTAGCAACAGATTGTTTACTTTATACCTGGATGAAATATTGATGTAAGTGATGAATACTGTGTGTTTGTTGTTCAGACTTCACCAACAGAATGCTGAGATAGGTCGGCAGAGGTTGAAGGAACTTCAGTCTGTACACAAAGACCTGGATCTCATCTACGTGGACAAGTTCGGTTTTGATGTGGAGACATGTTGTGGTTCTATTCCTCAAAATAACAAGTGGACAGATAGCTGGGTGGTGAGTAACCCTTAGATAGACAGGTGGGTGGTGAGTAACACTGTGATAGACAGGTGGGTGGTGAGTAACACTTGGATAGATAGTATGGTGGTGAGCAACACTTGGATAGATAGCTGGGTGGTGAGTAACACTTGGATAGACAGGTGAGTAGTGAGTAACACGTGGATAGATAGTATGGTGGTGAGTAACACTTGGATAGATAGATGGGTGGAAAGTAGCACTTGGATAGATAGATGGGTGGTGAGTAACACTTGGATAGATAGCTGGGTGGTGAGTAACACTAGGATAGATAGATGGGTGGTGAGATGCACTTGGATAGCTGGGTGGTGAGTAACACTTGGATAGATAGCTGGTTGGTGAGTAACACTAGGATAGATAGATGGGTGGTGAGTAACACTTGGATAGTATGGTGGTGAGTAACACTTGGATAGATAGCTGGGTGGTGAGTAACACTTGGATAGCTGGGTGGTGAGTAACACTTGGATAGATAGCTGGGTGGTGAGTAACACTTGATAGATAGATGGGTGGTGAGTAACACTTGGATAGATAGATGGGTGGTGAGTAACACTTGGATAGATAGCTGGGTGGTGAGTAACACTTGGATAGATAGCTGGGTGGTGAGTAACACTTGGATAGATAAATGGGTGGTGAGTAACACTTGGATAGATAGCTGGGTGGTGAGTAACACTTGGATAGATAGCTGGATGGTGAGTAACACTTGGATAGATCGATGGGTGGTGAGTAACACTAGCATAGACAGCTGGGTGGTGAGTAACACTAGGATAGACAGATGGGTGGTGAGTAACACTTGTATAGATAGATGAGTGGTGAGTAGCACTTGGATAGCTGGGTGGTGAGTAACACTAGGATAGATAGATGGGTGGTGAGTAACACTTGGATAGATAGATGGCTGGTGAGTAGCACTTGGATAGCTGGGTGGTGAGTAACACATGGATAGATAGATGGGTGGTGAGTAACACTAGGATAGACAGCTGGGTGGTGAGTAGCACTTGAATAGCTGGGTGGTGAGTAACACTTGGATAGATAGATGGGTGGTGAGTAACACTTGGATAGATAGCTGGGTGGTGAGTAACACTTGGATAGACAGCTGGGTGGTGAGTAGCACTTGGATAGCTGGGTGGTGAGTAACACTTGGATAGATAGCTGGGTGGTGAGTAACACGTGAATAGATAAATGGATGGTGAGTAACACTTGGATAGATAGTATGGTGGTGAGTAACACTTGGATAGATAGCTGGGTGGTGAGAAGCGCTTGCATAGCTGGGTGGTGAGTAACACTTGGATAGCTGGGTGGTGAGTAACACTTGGATAGATAGCTGGGTGGTGAGTAACACTTGGATGGATAGCTGGGTGGTGAGTAGCACTTGGATAGATAGAGTGTGGTGAGTAACACTTGGATAGATATTGTGGTGGTGAGTAACACTTGGATAGATAGATGGGTGGTGAGTAACACTTGGATGGATAGATGGGTGGTGAGTAGCACTTGGATAGATAGAGTGTGGTGAGTAACACTTGGATAGATAGCGTGGTGGTGAGTAACACTTGGATAGATAGATGGGTGGTGAGTAACACTTGGATAGACAGATGGGTGGTGAGTAACAGTTGGATAGATAGATGGGTGGTGAGTAACACTTGGATAGATAGATGGGTGGTGAGTAACACTTGGATAGACAGGTGGGTGGTGAGTAACACTTGGATAGATAGATGGGTGGTGAGTAACACTTGGATAGATAGCTGGGTGGTGAGTAGCACTTGGATAGCTGGTAGTGGTGAGTAACACTTGAATAGATAGATGGGTGGTGAGTAACACTTGGATAGATAGCTGGGTGGTGAGTAACACTTGGATAGATAGAGTAACACTTGGATAGATAGCTGGGTGGTGAGTAACACTTGGATAGATAGATGGGTGGTGAGTAACGCTTGGATAGATGGGTGGTGAGTAACACTTGGATAGATAGCTGGGTGGTGAGTAACACTTGGATAGATAGATGGGTGGTGAGTAACACTTGGATAGATAGATGGGTGGTGAGTAACACTTGGATAGATAGATGGGTGGTGAGTAACACTTGGATAGATAGATGGGTGGTGAGTAACACTTGGATAGATAGCTGGGTGGTGAGTAACACTTGGATAGATAGATGGGTGGTGAGTAACACTTGGATAGATAGATGGGTGGTGAGTAACACTTGGATAGCTGAATGGTGAGTAACACTTGGATAGATAGCTGGGTGGTGAGTAACACTTGGATAGATAGATGGGTGGTGAGTAACACTTGGATAGATAGCTGGGTGGTGAGTAACACTTGGATAGATAGATAGGTGGTGAGAAACGCTTGGATAGCTGGGTGGTGAGTAACACTTGGATAGCTGGGTGGTGAGTAACACTTGAATAGATAGCTGGGTGGTGAGTAACACTTGGATAGATAGCTGGGTGGTGAGTAACACTTGGATAGATAGATGGGTGGTGAGTAACACTTGGATAGACAGCTGGGTGGTGAGTAACACTTGGATAGATAGATCGGTGGTGAGTAACGCTTGGATAGATGGGTGGTGAGTAACACTTGGATAGATAGCTGGGTGGTGAGTAACACTTGGATAGATAGCTGGGTGGTGAGTAACACTTGGATAGATAGCTGGGTGGTGAGTAACACTTGGATAGATAGATGGGTGGTGAGTAACACTTGGATAGATAGCTGGGTGGTGAGTAACACTTGGATAGATAGCTGGGTGGTGAGTAACACTTGGATAGATAGATGGGTGGTGAGTAACACTTGGATAGATAGATGGGTGGTGAGTAACACTTGGATAGATAGCTGGGTGGTGAGTAACACTTGGATAGATAGCTGGGTGGTGAGTTACACTTGGATAGATAGATGGGTGGTGAGTAACAGTTGGATAGATAGATGGATGGTTAGTAATGTTTGGATATACAGGTGTTTGGTAACATTTGTATAGATAGATGGGTGGTGGATAGATATCTGGATAGCAAAGATGAGTAAAGTCACATTTTGTAGTAAAACACCACATACAAAACAGGCCATGTGTTGTTGATCTCATCTCTACTGAACTGTTCAGTTATCTCTCTGCTGGTTGTTTCATGTTTTGTTGTGTGAAAATAATTTCTGCGAAACATTGTAAAATTCGTCCAGTATATCTCCAGGGCTCATGTTTCGGTGAACCAACACTAACCCCTGATTTTCATCATTCTCATGATCAGAAATTACCCGCCCTTGATTTTCATCAACATTGGACCAACCAATGAAATGTCGATGTAAGGGAAAGGGTAAGGGAGGTAACTTGTATTACTGTGAAATCCTTTCCATCAGAAAGACTTTTGAGGGCATTCTTTTATGTGTTTTTCAATATTGATTCTTTTGTAAACGCAATAATAATCAGTGGGACTGTGTGTAACATTGGTATGTTAGACCTAGTAGCAAAGCCAATCAAACATGCAAAAAGAAATCAAGGGCAGGTAATCTGAGACTGTGAGAACCATGGAAATGGACCCTGGGGGAAGTGATTGGCTGCGGAAATACAAAACTTGTTTTTGTTTACTTTCAGCAATTTTATGCCCAGAAAATCGAAGAGCAAATCCAGAGGCTTGAATCTGAGGTGAGAACTACTGGATAGATTTGTGTGAGAGAGGGAGAGGAATAAATATCAATCAAAACTATTTCATTTTCAACAATGACACATTTCATGGAGGAAATAGTCTTTGATTTTCTAACCCTTATCATATAGGCATCCAAATGATGTACCTCTTGATTGTTTTCAGTATAGAGACAAAGGTGCTCGGGAACTGTGGTCACAGATACTTCCCAGCATGCCTAAGCTGTTTGATGGCCTTGACATTCAGCCTGCTTTGCTGCATGGGGATCTGTGGGCTGGAAATGTTGGGCAGCTGTCAGACAGACCGGGTATGCTGTGTAACTGACATCTACATCCTTGCGTTAGGTGTATACTTGTGTGGACATCATCACATTCATCTGACAAATGATGCAGTATTCAAGAAAGTGAAGAACCACCCAATTCTTTCACATTACTGTAGTCTGTCCAGAGCTACAGATAACGTTTTTGGTCATTGAGTTATGTACTCGCTTGTGTTCATCTCAATTGGGTATCCTAATTTTCCTTTGAGTAACCACATAAATTGTACCCATCTCACACAAACTCAATTGGGTATTTTGCCATTTTCCATTAATTTTAAAAATATAATAAAGTTTAAATGTTAGTGTTTGTTATTTATATTTGATCTGTAATATGAGAAATGATAAGAAAGACTGCAAGCTGCCAAGTTCATGTCCTGAAATAGAACCTCTCAGTATACCTCAGTTATTTCATCTGTGCACCGGTACGCAAGCTAAGATTTGACATTTTTGTGTGTACACATTTAAGATCAAATTTATTGACTATTTACACAAATTCAAGCGTACTTGTACGCAGTAGACTTAATAAGAATTGAGTTTTCACGTAAATATTTGCATAATTTAAGCAGATACGCAGCTTATCTGTACTTCTGTCTGTCTTGTCATTGGAGCCAGGGATTGCCCAGTCATCCAGAGTGCCACTATTTACTGTGCAGAGTTGTGTCCCTTAGATATTCCATAAGCCTATGCCAGTTTGTTTCAATCCTGATTCGCCCTAGTATGTGTCTTGGTTGTCAGCATCAGTTTCAGCTTTCTTCCCACATAAATCTGCAAAACTGTTCAAAGCATCACTCACTCACTCACTCACTCACTCACTCACTCACTCACTCACTCACTCACTCACTCACTCACTCACTCACTCACTCACTCACTCACTCACTCACTCACTCACTCACTCACTCACTCACTCACTCACTCACTCACTCACTCACTCACTCACTCACTCACTCACTCACTCACTCACTCACTCACTCACTCACTCACTCACTCACTCACTCACTCACTCACTCACTCACTCACTCACTCACTCACTCACTCACTCACTCACTCACTCACTCACTCACTCACTCACTCACTCACTCACTCACTCACTCACTCACTCACTCACTCACTCACTCACTCACTCACTTTCAGAGGTGTGATTACTTTGAAATTTCATTCAATGTAATAATGTAAATTTAAGCATTGAAGAACCTTATTGTTACTTTGTTCACTTCTGCAAACTGTCACTTTGGTTATGACCATAGTAACATATATTTTAATTTCTATTTTTACAATTTGCATATTTTAGTGACATCTGGCAGTATGTCGGCCACTGGGCAGGTCCATATGAGTGACTGTCTGTCTTCTTTATCTCCAGTGATATTCGACCCCAGCAGTTTCTATGGGCATGCTGAATTTGACCTGGGAATAGCCAACATGTTTGGAGGGTTTAATTCTGCATTCTTCAATAACTACTTCAAGGTCCTGCCCAAACAGCCAGGCTACGAGACAAGACTGCAGCTGTATCTGCTCTTCCATAAACTCAACCACTGGTATGTGTAAATTTACAGCTAGCCAGCTCGATGGTGTGGTGAATATTTTAGATGACATGTTCCATACATCTGAGTAAATACACAATATCTTAAAATATATTTTTTCAAATTGAGCGTGACATTAAGACTTGAAATTAGTTGACAATTACAGTTTTAACATTGAACTATCGTATCGCAAGCTCAAACACTTTGTTGACATATATTATCCCTAAAACAGCGACACCTACCGATGCATGGAGTTCTGCAAACTCAAAGTCTGATTTCTTTGAAAATGACTGGTGTGAATAGGCTGTTAGACAGTAAATACATGTCTCAGGTTCATTAAATTATTCATTGTAACTAAAAAAAAAAATGAGATATTTTCTTTAGATTGTCTGGTCTGGTTAAATCCATTTTGGGACAGTTACCAGCCCTGATGTCTGTCTGGGATTTTGGCCTATTTCACTATTTCATACACTGCAAATGTCATCATATCCCAACTGCGTAAATCGATGCTGACGATGTTGATCACTGGATTATCTGGTTCAGATTTGATTATTTACAGATGCCATATAGTTGAAATATTGAAATAAGCAGTGAGTGAGTGAGTTTAGCTTTATCCCCCTTTTTGCAATATTCCAGCCATATCACAGTGAGGAACACCAGAAATGGTCTTCACACATTGTACCCAATCGAATCAAATCCGGGTCTTCTAGCAAACATTTTAACCACTAGGCTACCCCACCTCCCCTTAAACAACAAACAAACAAACATAACCTCAACCTTTCTGCTCAGTTTGTGATGCCATGAGGACCTTGATTGGTATAGGTTCCAAAGCACTTATTCGAGTCCCCACATGGGTACAATGTGTGAAGCCCATTTCTGGTGTACCCCGCCGTGATATTGCTGGAATATTGCTAAAAGCGGCGCAAAACCAAACTCACTCAGTCACTTCTATTGTTACAGTCCCAGTTGAGAGGCACAACTTGTCCATGTAGTATACAAAGTTCTATATGCAGTATGATGATTTAATCCTCTATCGTGTCAGTTCCATTTGACAGGCACAACTTGTCCATGTAGTATGCAAAGTTCGTCTTTTCATATTTCAGTTGTGTTTGAGAGGCACTAAACTCACTAACTCACTCCAAAGCACTCAAATACTTGTAGTAAGCCTCAACTTTGTTGCGTCAATGACTTGATTTCCTGTCTGGACAGGTTGCAAAGTTACTTATTACATCAACCACTCTTTACCAAACTTGGTTGTTCAAGGCTATCAGACCGCCTCCGTGGTGTGGTTGTTTATAGCGTCCGCCCGGAGAGCAGAAGGTCGCGGGTTCGATCCCCAACCGCGTCATACCAAAAGACGTTAAAATATGGTACTTGTTGGTCCCTGTCTGGCGCTCTGCAAAAATGGGTACAACAAGGACTGGTCGGCTCGGAGTCAGTTTAATGTGTCTGGTAGTCATGCTTCACTGCGGCATGGTATCTCAGTGGGCTAGCACTATAAAACCAGCTTCAGTCTGGGATAGTACAAGCAGCCACACATACACATGCACACGCAGGTACGTCGTCATATGAGCGAAAGATTCTCAAGTACGACGTTCAACCCAGTTTCACCTCACCTCACCTCAAGGCTATCATGGAACAATCCTTCTCACTAAAGTTTTAAGCATGTGACTAACTAACTGAGTGAGGTGTTAAGACAACAGACACTAGAAATAGTGTCATAATAGACATACAGGGAATCAAACCAAGGTCTAACACATGAATAGCTAACACTTGAACCACAAGGCTAACCCACCATTTAGGGGTGGCTAACCACCATAGGTGCCCTGGACTATAAAATGGGGGTCCCAGACACTTAAATGTATTTTTAATAATACTGTTATTGTATTGTTTGTCATGATCATCACATTATTTGTTACAGTAATTAAATTGCAAATGATACCATAACCCAGCTAGCTTGATTGAAATTTTTTACAAAAAAGTATTTAGACTTTCCTGCGTCCATGTGGATGTGCTAATCAATTTCGTTATGAGTATTGGACGCAGGAATTTGTGTCCGTAAATCCCTGTATCTGTAATGTACATCATAATTATAAAATTTATCAAGACAGTAAGAACAACAGCAATGATGATAAAATAAATATCATTAATGTGTTGTGGCACAAACATTATTATTACTATGGTCAGTTTCTTCAGTGTGTACTCAACTGTAAGCTTCAGTTCCCTATACATCTCATACTTTACTACCCCATAAATATGTTTTACTGCAAATTAATTTCAAAGTCCTCTGGATTTAATTTACATCAATTACACATCAGTTTAAACAGTTAATCAGTTAACAAATGCCTACGACACCACACTTCACCAACAGAAAGTACAAAACATCACACGAGAACAACATTTATCGATAACCTAGTCAAACACTAACAAACTGGGGGATTTTCTCAAGGGGAGTAACTCTGTACACCCTAACTTGTCTGAGGGTTATTTTGTCTGTTGTTTTCTCTGCAGGAATCATTTTGGAAGCTCTTACAGAGGCTCCTCCATGGGAATACTGAAACACTTAGTCAAAAAGTTGCAGGAACGCTGAAGTGCAATCCAGTCTACAGTCTCAAAGTGTTACAGGAACGTTGAAGTGCCATCCAGTCTACAGACTTCGGTTTCAGCAGTATTGATTTGTGAAGATTTTTGCCGTGGGACATTAATTTGATTTATACTTTATTTATAGTTCTCATTTATGGTCAGAATAATTTTGTGGAGTTGACAATGTATCGATAATAGTCACTAATGCCTACCTCCATGCATTTTACATAATTTTGTTTTAATTGGCTGAAGAGAATTGTTGATACATTAATTTAGTTTTGTTGAAAGGCGTTATTTGTTTGCATGCTGTTATTAGTGTAAACATATCTGTTTGACTGTATACTAGATATTTGTGTAACTAAATACTATGGAGGTGTACCAGTGGCACAGTTTAAAGTATGATACATATACATAGATGATACTTTCATCAAAGTAGGGGCGGTGGGGTAGCCTAATGGTTAAAGCATTGGCTCGTCACGTCGAAGACCAGGGTTCGAATCCCCACATGGGTACAATGTGTGAAGCCCATTTCTGGTGTCCCCCGAACGTGATGATGCTGGAATATTGCTAAAGGCGACGTAAAACCAAACTCAGTCAGTCAGTTCATCAAAGTAGATGATACTAAGCGATTATTGATGACAGTTTTCCTTTGGCCAGTCATATCAGGCCGAGACTACCAGGACACTAATACTTTTTCATACTTGCTGATAGAAATGTATTATGAAGATGGCAACTTTACAGATACTATTACGTTAGGGGATGCTTTATTGCAAATGCTTGATAAAAAAAAATATGATGATAAAAAAGAAGGACAAACTTGCGCAACCACATTTTCATTTAATTTTTTTTTTAAAGATTTTTTAAATTGCATCGCACGACTTTATGGGCTGCTCATATGTTTGATTATCACGCCCTGAACTTATGGGAAAACATTGTCTTGAAAAGGCTAGATACACCATGTACAGAAATGTGTGTGAGGTGATGGTGGTGTCTGTCTGTGTAGGTGGTGTCCTTGGTGTGTTTCATGTGTGTGGGGGGTAGGTGGGGGGTGCTTGAATATGTGTGTGTGCATGCATGATAGGTGTGTGCATGTGTGGGAGATTGGATGTGTGTGTGTATGGATACATTTGTTTGTTGTGTTCATGCATGGATACTAGTGGTGCAACGATTCATCGATAGTATCGATGTTTGCATCGTCAACTACGAGATACGAGTGCATCGATGCAAAACGTTTAGGCAATATGTCAGGATATTTATATCGCGAGGGTCTGCGATACATCGATGTATCGCCACAAGAGACGATATATCCCAATACTACTTAAGTACTACTTAAAGGTGTAAGGAGTATTGCATTAGGAATAGGAAGGGAGCATCTTTGAAATTCTTCTGAATTTTAAAAACAAATTGAACCTTGTAGGAATTTGTTTGTCTTTGCTATAAAGTTACATGAACAAAGGAGTTGATGTATAAGTGAAAGAATGTGAACATTTCCAAACTCTGTGAACTGTAAAATACTTGTCTTCAAGTAATTGAAATATGTTTTTAGTTGTCAAATAACACCATTTATTAACAACTATGAATGATTCCTTAGCTTTGTTAAGAAAGAGAACAAAGAGAAGATAAACTTTAGAAAGCATACTTAAGAGTGTTTTTTCAGTGATTCTGAATTCTGGTATAAATTACATTGAATTGTTTGTGAAAGCATTGGTGTAGAAACACAACTTTCCAAGGGAAACTTCAGTTTCAAATTTATATATATTAGATCAAGGTATACTGAATATGTTTGACTGTACTTTCTTAAGCATTAAATGTTCAAACTTTATTAGATGAATAGCCTTTTAAGTGTATGTGTGTGAACGTAACACAAGTTCTGCTGTATAACAAATAAAGTTTCAGTCATTTTATCTACCATATATGTTCTGTTATGGGAAATTGTAAAGTATCGGGATATATATCGTATCGTCACCACTGTATTGTGATAATAATCGTCTCGCATGTTCCTTGCCAATACTTTCATGATATATAGCCTCATCTTTCCTCATTAAACTGGTATCGGGATATACCATCTCGCTACTTAGGCAACGATACTCAGCTCTAATGGATACATGTGCGAGCTTGGGTGTTTGTGAAATCTGGTTATGCCAAATGTATCAATAAATATCATTGCTAGGGACATCCAATGTCTCTTGTGGCCTTCTGTAAGGCCTTTTATTTGTGAGAGAGCTGTGAATCCACTCCAGGCAAAGAAAATATGTCCCCTGTATAGAAGCAGCATTTTAACCTGTATTTATTGTAATTATTAACAGTTAAACTTATTGAACTAGCAGTAATAGTTAATGTAACCTGACCACCAAGCCATGAATATATTACCTGAATCCTTCATTCTGTGTTTACCACTTGGACCTAGTCTTGTTAAGATGTTTAGTCTGAGTTGATGTAAGAGTGTCAACTGGTCAAATTATTAGCATATTCTGTGACACCAAAACATGCTTCTCCTAGCTGTTGGAGCCCTGTGGGTGTGATATGGGTAGTTATAGCAATATATGAGTTATGCTTTATGTGCTCAGGTTTTGTTTTTATGTTGTTAATGATGATACTGCGTATTTGTTGGCATTATTTTCAGGTTGTTACAAAACCAGAAAGAATAAAGCTAAATAAAAACGACATTGAAGGGAAACAACTCTTGATATCTTCCTACAGCCTGAAGACTGGCCCAAACCAAATATTCTCTACCAATGATTCAAGCTTTGAATAAGTGAGGATGGTTCAACATCACTTTGAACTGTATTGCGTATTTTATAGAGTGTTTTATATTACCTACGTGGCTGAACTAGAGGTGCGGCAGTTCTATCAGGATGAACATGGGATTCGACTCACAGTTCATGGGACTCACTGTCAAGGATTCAATCCTTGACAGCGAATTTCTATATGTTAGCAGGGATACTCTACAACATATACCGGTAGTCTCCCTGATGTTAGCTAAGGGATCGTTCATAAGTTATGGATAGTGGGGTGATGATGATTTTTTATGGAGAAGCATGTCCAGTGTGAGTGACCCCCCTAAGATTTATATACAAAGTAAGTGACCTGCCTGCATGTACAAAATCAATGCCGCCCAAGCATCACCCCCACCCCCACCATAATTTTAAAGCATTTTATGTTAACATTTGTTTATACATGTACAATATCAGTGCCACAACGCCCCCCCCTATTTTTAAAGCAGTATAATTTAACATTTTTATGTACAAAATTACTGACACCCCGTCAGTACATGTGTATGAAATTGCTTCCCCACACACACACACTTCCCAGAACAAATCCCCCCACCCCCTTAAAATCATCATCTTTCTCACACACACAAATACACACTAACACACACCAGGGAGACTATATAACGTTGTAGATTATCCCTGCACACACAATCATCACGCACACACTAACACACACCAGGGAGACTATATAACATCATCCCTGCACACACAATCATCATACGCACACACACCAGGAGACTATATAACGTTGTAGATTATCCCTGCAAACACAAATCATCACGCACACACTAACACACACCAGGGAGACTATATAACGTTGTAGATTATCCCTGCACACACAATCATCACGCACACACTAACACACACCAGGGAGACTATATAACGTTGTAGATTATCCCTGCACACACAATCATCACGCACACACTAACACACACCAGGGAGACTATATAACGTTGTAGATTATCCCTGCACACACAATCATCACGCACACACTAACACACACCAGGGAGACTATATAACGTTGTAGATTATCCCTGCACACACAATCATCACGCACACACTAACACACACCAGGGAGACTATATAACGTTGTAGATTATCCCTGCACACACAATCATCACGCACACACTAACACACACCAGGGAGACTATATAACGTTGTAGATTATCCCTGCACACACAATCATCACGCACACACTAACACACACCAGGAGACTATATAACGTTGTAGATTATCCCTGCACACACAATCATCACGCACACACTAACACACACCAGGGAGACTATATAACGTTGTAGATTATCCCTGCACACACAATCATCACGCACACACTAACACACACCAGGAGACTATATAACGTTGTAGATTATCCCTGCACACACAATCATCACGCACACACTAACACACACCAGGGAGACTATATAACGTTGTAGATTATCCCTGCACACACAATCATCACGCACACACTAACACACACCAGGGAGACTATATAACGTTGTAGATTATCCCTGCACACACATCACGCACACACTAACACACACCAGGGAGACTATATAACGTTGTAGATTATCCCTGCACACACAATCATCACGCACACACTAACACACACCAGGGAGACTATATAACGTTGTAGATTATCCCTGCACACGAAACCATCACGCACACACTAACACACACCAGGGAGACTATATAACGTTGTAGATTATCCCTGCACACACAATCATCACGCACACACTAACTCCAGTGAACCACTTTCAACATTCCTTAAACCATGCGTCTAACGGACTGGCAATTCCGCAGATTGAACGAATTAAACACTTTACTTAATACGATTCTCAGTAATGACTGGGCTATATCACATTAACTCCTTGTTGTCTGTGTATCTGACATCTGTTTCGTCTAACTGAGTTTACACCAGTTTATCTCACCGAATACGCACCAAACGCCATTTCTCCGGCGACTCGCCTTTGCCTGCCTGACTTAATGAAACACGAGGCTGTGCTGATGCTGTACCGTGTGTATATACCACTCAAAGGATGCTAAGGAACACCTGATTTCTCACGTTGCTATAACAAGTTCACCTTACATACTTGGACTGACTGACTGAGTTTAGTTTTACGCCGCTTTTAGCAATATTCCAGCAATATCACGGCGGGGGACACCAGAAATGGGCTTAACACATTGTGCCCATGTGGGGAATCGAACCCGGGTCTTCGGCGTGACAAGCCAACGCTTTAACCACTAGGCTACCCCACCGCCCCTACATACTTGGAGGATAAACTATATATAGGGCGTTCTTTAACTTCTTTTGACTAGTATATATAGGGCTCTTTGTTTAGTCAGTCTAAGTAAACTTAGGCTCAGTATTATTCGTTACACTGTCAGTATAGCAGTGTAACGAATAATACCATAGGCGGATCCAGAGGGGAGAGGTGCAGGGTGCGCATCCCCACTTTTTGTGCTGAAAGTTTGTTAAATGACCATTGAAACTTGGGTAAAAAAGATGTAGTGTGCACCCCTCCTTTTCTCCTTAGTGTGCACACACACACACACACACCCCTTTCTCAAAAAGCGGTATCCGCCCCTGTAATACTGAGCCTAACTTAATTTAGACTGTTTAGTCTGCACTGTCCCGATCCACAAAACGTTCGTAGCGCTACGGGGCGGTGGGGAAGTCTAGTGGTTAAAGCGTTGGCCCGTCACGCCGAAGACCCGGGTTCGAATCCCCACATGGGTACAATGAGTGAAGCCCATTTCCGGTGTCCCCCGTCGTGATATTGCTGGAATATTGCTAAAAGCGGCGTAAAACCAAACTCAGTCAGTCAGTCAGTCAGTCCAAGTGTTACTCACTGCCCATCTAGTCAATCAGTCGTAGAGCTACATTTGTAAGCCTGTGATAAACTATAGAGTTGCGACAGGTCGTAACGTTACGAACGCTTTGTGGATCGGGGTCCGGTATTCTAGCTATATGACAGCTATCTGAAAATAATCGACACTAAACCTCATAATCAAGTGACTGACATCATGAGTATCGACCCACAATTTGGATACCATGGTTTGCCTTCAAACAAGTCAGCGAATCGTGCACCGGACGCTTTACGTCACAGATCCATTACAGATCCGGAGGTCGGTGTGCGGTTCCCGTTTTCTAAGTATAACATCGCAGTGAAGATCTGAGGTTTTGTCAGCAACCCATGTGGTAAGAGACAACTAACAGGATCGGGTTGTCAGGCCCGCAGACTTGGTTGACACGTGTCATCGAATCGATGCTCATGCTATCAGTTACTGTTTGGCAAACAGATTGACTTCTGAACTTCAG